TCCATCTTCTTGCTAGAAGCGTTAACAGAGTTCAGTCGTAGGAACTTCAGTTGGAGTGCAAAAGGTCGATCACTTTCATCATTTCGAATTCATCCCTTCACTCCTTATTTTATCGGCCTCATCCTCGCGGCGGTGTTGCCAGGGTTGTCAAGCCAGATCGCAAATTTCTCACCTTCAAAACCACTTAATAACAGGGCTCATCTGCAGGCTGCTGACAATCTTTCAAAGATTTTTAGAAATCTGTCTTTAAATGGAGAGAGGTTTTGGAAGTCTGTTACATTTGCAAATCAACAGCATTCTGTTTGACTTTTGATCTGGTCTCCTGTGTTTTTGTTTCTAAATATGTCAAATGAGAGAGACGGGGCCAAAATATCTTGTGCTGCTTGGCGTGCTTCTGAAAACACCGTTTTAACATCTGAGTTAGATTTGTAAGACTGATAAAATACCACCTTTTCAGGATTAGTAGTTTAAAGGGATCTTTCACAGATCTTTCTAAAATTCATTAATATCTGTTTTGCTTTAATTGAGGCTCTACTCTGAAATGTAAGGAGGACTGCATGAGTGCATTTAAATCTACAGGAAATTAATTTAAGTCTGTGCTCCTCCTAGGAATTGTACGAATCTTTTCTGTATTACTAAGAAACCTCTGTTTTGCTAGTCATATTTGGAATTTTTTTAACTCGTCTTTACTTGCCCCCTTTGCTGTTTTGTTATAAAGCATCTACTCTTTGAGGTATAAGGTAATACTGTTCACAAGATTTAATTGAATGTGAGTAATCGCTCAGTGAGTAGGAAATACTCTAGTGGGACTGGAATTTAGAGTGAGGAAGCAGGAAGCACCTGTATGTTGAAGGAAAACTGGAATGAGCTTCATTGTCTGAGTAAATGTGGAAGCATAACAGCAGAATTTATCAATTAATGGTAGATAGGGGAGAGAGATGCTTTGCACATACTAATGCCATGTGCATGCACTGCAATTGAAACTGGTCTAGAGCACTTCATGAAAAAGGTCAGGACAGAATAATTTGTGCGTGTGTAAATGCTTCGGCTCGCGAAAACATTGAGTTCCAATAACAAACTCACCCTCAGGATACACATGTTCTATGCCTGTACATAGCCAATAACCATTAGCTGGAGTGGGTATGAATATGTCAAGGCATTGATGAGGGAGAATGAGCAGGCAGCCCATGAGTGAGAGTCACAGGAAGAGAAAGCACAGTTTATGTACCTGTCACGAGTACGCACGGCACATTGGATGGTAAGAAATGCCATTCTGGTTTGTCATTAGGATTTATCAGGTGGAGAGAATGCGCCATCACACCCTGTTCTCTGGAGTGAACATTTCACTTCTTTCATTGGTTCTTCTTTGCATTAGCAGCTCTGCTTTTCTTCTCTCACCCTCTTTGCTGTGACGCTTATAGGCCTTTCGGGGAGCCAACTTACCTAGAAGATCCTCAGCTCTCTCTCTGAGAGAAGCAGTACCTCTTTATCCATGTGTGTTCGGAAATCAGCTGTCCCACAGGGAATAAGCCTCCAGAGTCTTACTACAACAGAAAATTCTGTTACAATTAGAGTATCTCTAATTGTAACTCGGGTAGGTAAGGTCAGGAAAACATTTTCAATGTTCAATTTGCATCAACGTAAAACGCTGGACTTAAAAAAGCATAGATTTCCCTGGTTGTGCCACATGCTGCCTGAGTGCGAACAGAGCCCACTGTCTACACTGAAGAGCTTTCTGGAGGACTAGAGGAGCTCACAGAGCTCTGCCATGTGAAACATCTTTCTATGCCTATGGTATAAATAAAAGCCGTCTGCCTCAATGAGTGTGTATGAGCACTATGTCATTCACAAGGCTGCAAGATACCTCAGGCTGCTCTGTTTTGAAGCCTAATGTTGTCATATATTCAGTGTTGAGGAAGTTTAGAAAGAAGTTTTCAGAAAAGTAACACGTTATGTGTACATGGGAGTACTTTTTACAGTAAAGTACAAGAAAATTTGTACTTGTGCTTTTAAGGGATAATATGATACTTTACATATTTATGATACACAGTGATCACTTTTTAAAATGATTTTTACCCTAGCTTTCCCCCGTGTCCAGGTTTTAATTTTTAAACAGTAATCCTTTTAAGCAAGTTGAAACTGTAATGGATTTACTTTTAATAACTTTCCCCAAAACTACTTGTATAGAATTTATTTATTGACAAGGAAAACACGATTGTTTCACATCAATACCTGATTGGACAGATACATATTTTTGATTTAGTAATGTTGAATTCTTATTTTTATTAATAGATATCTTTAAGGTCACATGTTCTGGAATTTTATGTTAGAATTTCTTTAATTAAATTCATTAAACTTTAAAGCAGTATTTATTTTATGGGTCAGCAAGTATATTAACTCTTTGATATGCCTGCATTTAAAAAAAAAAGGCCAGATTCAAAACAGTCCTAGTCTGCTTGCCCTATTCCCGAACGTTTCCCACTTGCTGAGGATGTAGACAAAGGCGTTATGCTCCAGAAATAAAGCAATCTGTTTTACACCGGATATCGTGGCATGGATATATAGTGGAAAATGCGCGGCTGTAAAAAAATGACAAATCTGGTAGTGCCTCGTTTTAACGGACAAAGCTGAAAACGTACAAAAACATGCCGTAGTAAAATGAGCGCTCTAGAGATAATCCAAATGCGATACGGCACCTGGTACACACTAAGGAGTAGCCACCATCAGAAGTACAGAATAAGGATGTTTGCTTTTTCTGAATCAGGCTTTTACCACTTCGGGCAAGTAGAGAAATCGAATACCGTTCTCTGCTCATTCGCTACACTGAACTCTGTTCGTATCGGACAGACAATTTGTTAATTGAGGACCTCAGATTATGAAAGCGTCTGAAAGGAGCAGATGGCGTCTCCTCTGGTGACCCTTCTACAGGGCTACTGCCTGGACTGTGACGCATGTCCAGTAAGGGGGTTTCGCTTAAATCCTTCAGCCACTTCATTCATGCAAAACGTGCATGATATCGAAGCCGATATTGTGTTTATTTTTTGTTTACCTTTAGGTATTTAAATTGTGTCCAAAATGCAAAATAGTTAAGTAAATGCTTCAATCTACGATGCAATTGCTACTTTTAGTCCGCGCGAGTTATTTTCATGCGTTTCAAATGGGATCGGAGATACCGGTCCTAACAATAGGTTGAAAAGGTAACAATGATTCAGCTTTTAGAAATCTCGTCAATTTGTTTTTGCTCTCTAAAAATTTTTATTACAATTTTGCAATTGCCCTTTGTTTAGCCTGAAACGACACCGTTTTGTCTTCGTCTGAGTTTTGAATTTTTTTACGACATATGTTTTGGAAGGCAAACACCTTATTATGCCAATCGTGGTGACATTTCTTTAACCACATCTGAAGTATAAATGTTTGCAGCGCGGAAAAAAACAACGCGTACCTTAAAGCAAGATTTTTGCCAAACGGAAAACATACGTCTGAGCTCAGCCCACACTGCTGTGATGTCATACGTATTATGCCTATAACCTGCATGGCACACTTTACTTCCTGCTCTGTCCTAGGAGAAATTAATCCCTTCTGCTGAGAGTACCAGCGGACAAAACCACGAATTCTTCATAATCCAGGTACACCTGCTGCATCCCGCACCACATGGTCATTCAGTGGGATTTGAACAGATGTCTACAAAACCACACCTAGACACAATCTCCGCATGTTATGAAGAAATGCCTCATAAACGTGTCGGGGCTTTTGTTTATACAAAAAATCTAGTGGTTTCTACTAATTCTGTTTCTTTGACCCCCTTAGAAAGAAAATACTATGTATTAATTGTTACTGCACTTGAATGCTGTGATACAATTGTCCTCTCGGTTGACATCCGTACAACGTATCTTTTCAAAGCCCGTTCCTTTATTAAAAGATTACAGCATGCCGAAATAGACTGGGTTGGCTAAAGATGGCAATAAGGCGGTAAACTAGCCATTTATTCGGGTTCAATAAATTGTTGGTTTTTTTCCGAATTACTAACACGACTCATTTAATACTGTGCTGGTCAGCAGCTACGCTATTTGATAAGAACAACACGTTTTGAAATGCCAGATGTTAAAAGACATTTTCATTTCGCAATACCGAATACCGGTTTCAGATAACTGTCGGCTGCGTGAAGTCTGAAACAGACATTACAAACACACAATGTAGTTCGGCTGCGATCTGCTTTACCACAAATTATTGAAAAATATGTTGAGCAGTTTTATTTGATTGACTTGTCCTCAGTTCTATTCTGCCTTGTCCACATGTGCAATGTCTTTGTAAACCTATTGCCGTACTTCATTGTGAGAAAGATCATCGGGTATTCTGAAACGATTTTAGGATTTTTTTTCTTCGAGTAAAGAAAAAAATCAAATTCATTTATCATGACGCGGCTCTATTTTCTGTAATAACCCTAGTAACTGAAACAAAAAAAAATAAAAAATGTAGACTAATTCCTGTGATCTAACGAAACGTAGATTTCGTTGTGACTAATGATGAAGGACTCAAACTCGCAGTTTATTCATCCTGAGTGAAAGGCGGAGACTGCACGCTAAGCCGCAGTGTAGGCGGACTTATCTGATCCCCACCTTGTCGTTGTCCATATTTGGTTTATGATGTCACAATCCGGAGGTTCCATTCATATAAAATAGTTACAACGGAATCCCCTAAGAGGAAATGTAGGCACAGAAGCGCATCAGAATGGTTCACACTCGGCTCTCCAAAACCCCCATGTAATTGCTACTAAGCCGTCACTCGGCGTGCGTTGTTTTTTTCAGTAATAATACTTGCTCTCGGACCTTTACAGAAAGAAACATGAAGGTCGCAAGCATCGACTGCCGCCGTCTTAAGAAAATTATTAGAAAAGAATGTAGCAGCTGCCTGATCGTGGATTGTAGACCGTACTTTTCCTTTTCCACCTCTAACATCAAGGGTTCTGTCAATGTTAACTTGAATTCCGTCATTGTCCGGAGATCCCGAGGTGGACCGGTCCCTTTACAGTTCGTCATCCCGGACGAGGGAGCTCAATATCGTCTCCGAGAAGGAAGCATCTCTGCGGTTGTGGCTTTGGACGACCGGACGTCCCACTGGCAGAAATTAAAGAAGGACAGTGTGGCTCAAATAGTGATTAACACCCTCTCACATCTAGCAAGTGGAACCAAGATCTGTTTTCTTAAAGGTAAGCATTACGACTGACTTAATATTGACAGTTAACTGTTTATTTAAGGTTGACAGCCTCGATGCTTGGAGCTCTTTACAATATTTCTGGATTTAAGTTGTAGACGTTGTGCGTTTTCCTTGACTGCAAAAAAGTTTGTGTGTTTCTCGCTTTGTAAAAATCGCAGCCTCTTTATAACATCTGTTATCCAGCAAAATGTAACCTAATGCTTATTAAAAAGGGATGTACAAATCCAAGGAATATATTCACAACTATACAGTACATGGAGGCGTTTTTACGTGCTGTTTTTCGCCTTGGTGTACACGCCTGTAGAACATGTTTTACAGTTTATCTATCTCGAGGAATAATTTAAAGCAAACTGCTGCTAAATGTTCTGTAATTTCTGAGGACGAAGTCTAGTTGTAACTAAGGGTAGGACCCTGTCAGCACTTCACATCTATTTAGCGATATCCATCCGTCTGCTTAATTGACAGTTGGGTAGAGTGTGAGCTGAACACTTCATGAAGTGTCCGGGGTACATGATTCGTGTCATTTTTGAAAGTTCTAGGCCTCGGTCACCTCGCCCCTTGGTGACAACCTGGTGAGCAATTTGTTTAGTGTTGACGCGGAGACGTTTCGGCGGTTGTACGGGCAAGCTGCTCGGAATCTTAGCGCTGCGAAAACGATGAGTGGAGATGAGTCAGGCTGTGGGGAGACTGTAAACACCCAGCAACAGTGTGCTTGTTAACTGTTTGGCTGCTTGATCCCTGCGTACGCCGGAACACAACGTATACCGGAGTTTACCAGTTTTTGAATGTTTAAATGTGTTTCTCAGTTTTATTGATAAACACAGAAATAATATCCTTGTCCAAACCGGTGCATAAATTATCCGCTATCAATCTGGCAATAAAATCTATCTAGAAATTGGCATAATAGAGAGGCGTCACATTTACAGCAATTTTTAACGTACGATTTTACAGGATTTGAGCTCCCTGAATTCGTTCAACTGAAACCTGATCTTTATAATGAACTTTTGTAATGTATAACACTGTATAACACACAGATGCATGTGTTTCTGATGTGTTTATATTGTACCAGCTATTTATGCACTACAGAGAATACTGAAAGTTTACTTTTTTAACTTTCTACATTCTACAGTTTACTATTTAAACGACGTACATGACGATGGATAAAATTAAAAGAGAAAACCTCCTGATGAATAACCAATGTTAATCGAACACCAAAATGATGGCGTTGGGGAAATAGTGACTTGTATAAATTGGAAACACATCTACAGTAATACAATTTACGTGGTGTTGTTCAGTCTGTTTACCTTAATCTTATTTTTAAGTAAATGAATCAGGATTAAAAATATATAATTGCCATTGCCATTCTCCTGGGCTTGTGAGAATCTTGGACTTGTTGGTGAAATATATTAATGTTCTGAAAATGAAAAATAAAAATAATTTATTCACATACAAAAACCACAGTGCCATATTCTCACGACACTTCGGTATTTTGTAACAGCTTTAACAAGTGTATTTATAACAGGTTATTATTAGTTGCGTAGCTTAATAAAGGCGGGCCTCACATGAACTTAAGTCATCTTATTTATGGTTTGGCTGAGACTAAATGTGTTCCTCTTCGCTTTACGTATAAATATTTTATATTTGTTGAAGTTATTGATTAAGCCTGACTGGCCGTTAAACCTTATATTATCAAGTAGATAAGATGAAGATTTACTTCCATACTGTCGTACATCTAAAGGCGCAGTAATGTCTGTGAGAAACAGTAATACGCACCATGTTATTATACATCTGTAGTTTACTGATAAGGGGAACTAAATTAAGGCGTGAAAAAGGTTTCATCGAGAAACACACTGTAATCTTCTCTCTCTCTCTCGGTGTTTTTGACAGGAGGATACGAGAACTTCCACTCTCAGTACCCTGAACTTTGCACAGAGCTGAGAAGCAGCACACAGGACGGGACAGAAACGGAGAAAATCCTCAGCAGCAGTCACTATGAGAAGCTCGGTGCTAACCACAAACCGGAGTACGATCAGGTACGGAAGAGTGTCGATTCGCATGAAAGGCTGAAGCTTCCAATTTCAGCCCACTTGAATAAATTTGGCTTCCCTTCTTCTCAATATGCCACTGCTGTTTTAAAGCGCCACCTTTATCTGGCCACCTTTTTAGAGGTTTCATAGCAGAAATGTATCAGCACGCCACGTTAACCATAGGTTCCCTTTTCTTAAAATAACGCCTTCTTTTTCCCCTCTCTTTTCCCAGAAGTTAGTTCAGAGTTCCCCGTATGAACTCAGTTCAGCGCTGCATATTTTAACCACCTTAGCAAGACTGGCCTTTCCTTCTGTTTGCCTGTTTTTTTTTTCATATAATTCAAAAATACTGTTAAATAGCAGTATTGCAGTTATCGTCAGCTGTTTACGAGCGTTTTGATATTACGCTGTTCATTTAAATGCTAAAAATAGCATTCTGTCAGCGTTTTTTGAATTAAAAAGAATATAATAAAAAAAAACCTGGATTTTATTTGCAAACAAAACTCTTGGAAGATTGTGTGCAATAGGAATGTAGCGGTATCTTTGTACTGACATTCTGAACCTCATGTTCATCATTATGACTCTGAGTGTCCTGTACAGAAAACAAAATGTGAACATTCTCAACCTTTAAAGATTTAATTAGCTATCATTTATTTGCTCTATGTGGTATAGTTGTAGTCCAGTTTATCAGATATATAAGAGGCAAAATATCTACATAAATACCAGCTGCTGTTTTGCTTCTTGTAAGCTTCAGTGATGCAATCAAACAAACCAGGCATCATATGTCCCAAATTGTACAATCAAAAAACAACAGCAAAGGATTAGAAAAAGGCTAGTATTTTCCGGCTTAAGAGATGCTTCTGGGTCACACTGTGAAGTCATTGTGACATAAGATGTGCATAAGCTGCGGTGTTGTCACAGTCAGGTGGTCCTGACAGTGTTATTCGGAAAGCGATGTCACTTTAGAGTGAGTCACCACTCCCTTTTCCTTTTGTGCAGTGTGTCAGCTGCCTGTGAAAAGCCAGCCCAAATTAATACTCAGCAGCGTTTTGCAGAAGCACATCACCATATTTTTCGCAAGAGTTTCAGTAATATGGCCTTAATCTGTAGTGGTATGAACGACTTAATTGCCTTCACTTGTGTAGTATGCTAAATATTTAAAAAGTCGACTAATATTTTGGAGCTACGCATGGATTCTGCAAATGGCTAATGGATGCTTTCTATAACGTGGCAAACAGGATTTTTTAAACAAACTTGTTATTAAACTTATTATTTTATTTTAAACACGCTTTTTCTGTCCCTCAGATTTTTCTGGCCCTAATGACATTTTTGAATGTTTGAAAAGGAAATTTGATTTCTGGTGGTATATGTGAAACCCCTCATTTTCTGTCTGTCGTTTTCTGTCCTGGATGTTATTGCACCTGGGTCTCAATGAAACGTTATCTTTCGGGGGGGAGGGGGGAACGTGTTTTAAATCCTTTTGCATTGCACCTGTGTTGAGATGCTCAAGGCTTGATATTCATTGGGTTGCATTCGCCCCAGCCCTGTGATCAGTCATCAAAGATCTTTGTGGTCAAAGATTTCGTTTCAAACGGGCTTGGTTGCCTTCAGATACATCTCAGCTGGGGGTGGGGCTTTGATGTCTGTATATTAGTATTAAAAAACAGTAGTTATGGAATAATCAATGGCTAATGAGTAGCGTCTGGATTTTATTTTGATTTGGAGTTATCATGTGTTTTTCAATGTTTTTTTTTTATTTCTTAACTTCATTTTTTTTTTTTGGTTTGTCTGTATCTTCCAGGGCCAGCCAGTGGAAATCCTGCCTTTCCTTTACCTCGGGAGTGCCTACCATGCCTCCAGACAAGACTATCTGAGTGACCTTCACATCACAGCCTTGCTCAATGTATCCCGGCGAGACACAGAGCAAGCAAAAGGCCAGTTTCATTATAAATGGATTCCGGTGGAGGATAGTCACATGGCTGACATTAGCTCTCATTTCCAGGAAGCTATTGAGTTTATAGGTATGTATTCTCCTCTTATAAAACCTATTTTTATGCCCCATAGGAAATTTGTAATGATAGAGCCTCTGAAGAGTTTTTGAACCAGTACCAAGTGTCCAACTGAGAAAGTAAATGCCATCAAGCATCTTATTGTTAAAGCACAAAGCTCTTGTCATTGAGGAATTGTGTAAATAACAGTTCAAAAACCGGACCTGGTTTAAACACTGTTATATTACTCGCATTGTTTTTGAAATTCAAACACAAAATTGTGTACTACACTCCATCTGTTCCTACTCTGCAATAAAAGTGGAGTCAGCTTTGGCACATAGTGGTTTAGTTGAACATTCTTCGGATATTGTTAGATTTCAGAAATTACTGCCTTTCGGGCTTCATGCAGTCATTTCTTTTTTTAAGCAGCACTTGAATTCCAGAGATGCTGTGCATGTTTCTCATAGCCACCTCAATTTAAATTAATCATCCAGACAAACACGGCCAGGGAGATAAGCTATACATTTTGCAAATAATGTCTCTAACTACATTTGTACAGTAGCCCAAAACAGTCAACCAAGATGATTCACACTTTGATGGTATTTTGAAAGTCATGTTCCGATACTTCTGGAGTGGCAAAATGCTGCACACTTCAGCAGATGATGTAGAGGTCTTTCCCATTCTCTACTGTGGTAATCGTGTTGCAAAATGTTCTATAGATAGAGGTATTAAACATAAAAAAATCCCCTCACCAGTTTCAAAATAGGACTCGATTGTCCTCTGCCTGCTTTGGATCTAAAAGCAGCAAAGCTCCGGCCTCTAATCTTTTCTTGCAATGCAGTTTTCACAAATCCCATGGGGGATGAATTTAATTAGTATCATTCAGACCAGGGTCCTGTTACTTCCTTTTAAGTCTTGAAGAAACGAATAAGGAAGCCTTCAATGTCCACTCTAATCCTGGTTCTGTCTCTCATGGCTGGGTGTAGCTGCAGTGCCCCTAAATGAAATTAGTGTTGAAGATAGGTGGAGGCTGTTTGTCTACTGCAGGTGTACAGAACTGAAGGCAATTAGCGAGGAAATTGAATGGCTGAGGGAAAGGAAAGAGATGAGCTGGTAACAGCTAAACAAAGATATGTGAACTATTTATAGACAGGCAGTAAAAAGAATTGAAATCTTGGAAATAAGCTTTGACTATTTAACACGGAGAGTTCGTGGTAAGGCTTAAACTATCTTGAATTTGCATTTTACTGCCGAGAATAAAACCTGTGTATGCACACATACACTGGCATACACAAAATATTACAATTGTCCTACAACGTACTTATAGATCTTGTTCACAGTCACAGCAAATGTGCTCCTACGGCACTGTTTTAATTTTATAAATAAAAAGAAGTCTGCAAATTCAGTTTAGTGACAGTAAGAGGACATTGAAGCATACAGTGTAAATTGAAACCCTACTTTTAAAGGAGGAGTAAAAGACCAGAAGGAATATTGTCACTGAGTATAAGTATAGCTGAAGATGACTTGTGATAACAGAAGTAAAAGACCCCGATTTGCTATAAGCTGTTTATGTTTAAAGGGAAAACCTGATGCACAACTGTAAAAGGATAAATTGTCAGACACCCACAGTGTCCGTCTCTGTAGACGGAGGGTTTGTGATTCATTCATGTGGTCTGGTGGATGGGAGCTGTCACACAGATGACTGTCTTATCCATAGTCCTGTCAGCAGAAAAAAAAAAACAGAGCAGCATGCTCCTGTGAGAGGAAAAAGAGTGCTGAGAGAAAGAGAACTTTAAAACTGTAAACTCAGAAATACATCGATCACGCACTCTCCCTATCTCCCTTCTATCTCACGCACACACACGGCTTTGTGCTTCATGTACAGCTGTGCAGTGAGTCAAGAGTAGAGGAGGTGTACACGCAATGGAGGCGGAGACGGTGTAGGCGATGTAATTGGAGTGCGGTGAGGCTGTGTAGCAGGGCTCTTAAATGTTAGAGTAGGTGGGGAAAAAAAGGTGGGGAGCACTGAATGAGAGACTCAGGAGTTAGCAGAATGAAGGGTGAATTATTTGCCTGTCTGTGGTAAAAGCCCACTGAGCCTCTCTCCCTGCTGAAAGCTAAGGAAAAGCTTGCCTCTTCCTTTGCTGGACTCATGTTGCTGGAATTAGCATCCATGGACTGCATGCAAAAGAGAAGCCGTAAAATAGGACCTCGCTAATAATTGAAAATGTATCAACAAGATACTCTGTGCCCATGTAATATTTTAGGGTACACTTCCGAAAGGGAAATAATGTGCTGCCCTATTCCCCCCTTTAGACCCTTATTAACAGACTGCTGTTTTTCTTTTGTTTCCCAGACTGTGTGAAGGAGGCTGGGGGGAAGGTCCTAGTCCACTGCGAAGCGGGAATCTCCAGGTCGCCCACCATCTGCATGGCTTACATCATGAAAACCAAGCGCCTGCAGCTGGAGGAGGCGTTTGACTTCATCAAGCAGCGGCGGGCGCTCATCTCGCCGAACTTTGGCTTCATGGGCCAGCTGCTTCAGTTCGAATCAGAGGTCCTCTCTGCCGCGCCCCCGACCCCGGCCGCGACGTGCAAAAGGGAAACCGTGCCACTGTTTGCGGATGGGTTTGCCTTCAACAACGACTATGAGGCCTCCATGTTCGCCCTCCCAACCTCATTCCTGACTCCTGTGCCGATCCAGTCAAAGGTTCACCAGTTAAAGTTGAGCCCGATCAGTGCATTGCCTTAACCTGAAGGCTGACGTCTCCTAAGATTACTTGAAAAAACAACAACAAGTCCACGAGCTCAGATCCCCCCTCACAGACCCTGAAAAGGGGTGACGGGAGCGTGGAGGAACGAGAACTTTCTAAGAACGGCAACTGCAGGGCCAACAATGACGTCGTTGCTGTCGATATCCATCCTCATCTCCACAATGAAAAACAAAAGACACAGTGATACACTGATGCTGCCATCTTTGATCTGTATTGTGATATCAAGTAGGAAAATCGCCTTACTATGATGATGTGAACCTTATTGTGCTCAGAAAGCCTGTGCAAAGACAAGCAAGTTTTATTAATTTATTAAAATGTTAAATTACGTAATAACTGGCAGGAAGTAATTATACTCCATGCCTTGTTGGTCTTAAAAGTGCTTTTTTAAAAAAACAACAACAAATATTTATTTTGCTAAAGACAATGACGTGGAAATGCTAATAAAGTAATTTGCCAAATGGGACATGGTGGTGTTGTTGTTTTCTAACTGGGACTACACAGAAATGAAAAATTAATCTGAATGAATTAACAGCCTTGGCAATTGAAGTAAACAATCACTTAATTTTGAAGAAGGCTCACTTATCCTGAAGAGGGCTTCACGGCCGAAACGTTGTGTTTTCTCTCTTCTCTTTTCAGCATGAAATAAACCTATTGTTCCTTTGCAGACAATGCATGCTGACGCAGCTACCCACCTGAATCACTTATTTTATTCATTCTACAACTCACACTCAGGTTATCAGAAAGCTTTTTCCTCAGAATCCTCCCTAGGATGGTTTGTTCCTTTTATAGATCTAATTTAAATGTATTCTGCTTGACACCCTAAAAAGGCAAGCCAATTGTTGCTGCATTGAATGCATGTCGCAGTATTAAAAAACAATCCTGTAGTTTCTGGTTGTTCTGAGGATTATTAGCTTACTAGACCACTGGCTTATTGCAAGGCAAGTAAAGTGAGTTAAACATCTGCACACCTGATCTCTTTTACAGGTGCATAGGAAACAATCACTGACAGAAATAAAATGGAAAAATTCCTTCGTGCTGTGCTTTGCATATCTCACTTTATTCCAAAAATAGCTTGCATTTCTGTTTCCAGCCTTTAGCTCTGCGTGCTTTTTTTCTTTCGTATTTCCATAAAACACACAGACAGGCACAAAGCAAAACAGATAATTTAAGCAAGAATAATACAGTATGTTCAGTTATTTCACTGGTGCAACTCCGTGTGACTCAGACATGATCCCTTCGCAGCAAAATGACACAAAATGAGGTAAATGATCCCTTCTTGTGAAAGAAACCAACACATACAGTCTATAAATGGTCAAGCACTGATAGCAACCTAGTAGCTTACCAAAATACATGCACAACAAAGACATCGAGAAAAAGAAAAGTTAACCTTAACATACAACTTAGCAAATAAAAAACAAGAGGAAAGTAACAAGGTCAAGAACAAAGACGATTCTGAAACCGAAGCAAATTTGGGTATTTTATTTTTCGTTTTTATTAATTTAATATTGATATCAACTTAACAAGGATGTAAAGAAGTGAAGAATGGAATGTGTTGCTCATATGCATGAATTGGACACTAGCACATTCTGATTTTTCAGAAGGCAAGGTAAAGTCAAATCTTGTCTTATAAACTCATCTCCTTCACCTCTTGGTCACTCTGATAAAGAAAACGTGCATCGAAACGATTTGTTTTCCTGCAGGACACTGATAGAGTAGGTCTGGTGTTGTTTGTGTATTAAAACAGCTGCGTAATGGAGTGGAAAATTAATAGTTTTTTGTGACTTAAAATGTATTTTGTAAACTGCAGAAACCTAATAACACTCCATGGAATATTGCCCACAGCATTCCTTAGACAGAAACATATTATTCCAGCAGCACCTTTGTAAAAATAAGTATCATAATCACATATCCAGTTTTGTTTCTGGACAGAAAACTAATCATTTTAAGGGTGTTCTCTAACAGAATTGACCTCTGGTAAAAAAGCTTTTTCTTACATCTGTAGGTTCGGAAATTCTTTGGTTTGCAGATCTTTTGACTTGGTTTATTCCACGACACAAGCCAAATTCCTGATTGTGATGATTTACACTAGAAAGGAGAACACTGACGTTTGAGATGACATAAAAGTAGGTATTGTGGATTAATGATGTGCTGCGGGGTGTGAAAGAAAAGAATACAATGGGCATGTTCAGCCCTCCTTCAAAACTATGCAATCAAACTGTAGATTGTTTGTATCCTGATCTGTTTTGATATTTTTCAACATTTTCCCAGTGACGTTTACCTAGAAAGTCACCCCAGCCCACAGACAGTTACGTACGATTTGCTAAATTGCAGTCTGGTCTTTCTCTAAATGTCATGCCACTTTCATTTGAATCTGTGAAACACTGTGCTGCTTTTGCAATCTATCAGCACAACAAATGGTCACATATATCACAAAGTCTAAATGTAGAACTGTTTGACAGACAAAAGCATCCTATCTCTTCCTCAGAGCATGTCCAAGTCACTGTGAGATAGACCTAGTCACAAGCTTATTTATGCTGTTTCTGTGAAAGGCTTTTATTTTCCTTATTTTTATTTTGCTTTAATGATAACTAATTCCTTTATCATCAAACAAAAAAAGCAAACAGTGGCATTTTTTAAATTTCATTTTTGTATAGTCATGATTTATGCTTTTTTGGTTTCGTGCTCTAATGCCAGCTGTGCCAGTGGAATGCTTCTTTACATTACAACCACCTTGAATCTTTCATTTAATGTCAGCTTAAAATGAGCATCTTGTCACCCCCCTGAATGAGCATATGGCCCTTCCCAAACCCATATAAAAAAAACTGCAGTGTATGTGCCTGCTCTGTTTTGTGCTTTGTATTCTGCTGCATGCATACCTGGCTTATACCCATGTAGTGGCTGTTCTTTTGAATATGGCAGTGCTACTATAGGGTACAGAATGTACTCACTACCACAAGCAGTGGATTTTGAAATAAAAGTTCTATGGCTTTAAAAGGGTGCTAATTTACGACATCAGTGCCTTGTACTTTCATTTAAAAACAAATGTGAGATCATCTTGGTAAACTTTATATGCATTATCCCAAACTTTTGGTTTTTATTTTATTTTTGCTCAGTGGTAGGGGACCACTGCTGGCAAAGATGTTGGATTTACAGAGAAGAGAACATCTGCAGCAATCTCCAATGTAGCGCAGCAATAATGTTAGAGACTAGGGGTTGTCGGCGTGGGAAACTGTCAGTCCAGAAGATATATAACACCCTTTCCAAACTCCCTCGGAGTCCACTTGATTGTTCATAACACAACCCACCTTTTCGACTTTAAGCATGTGCTTAAATGCGTTAACAATGAAAAATAACTCTAGAATCCCATGACAATGAAACATTCTCGATGAAACGATGTTAGATTTGCGCCATGTTAAATACCTCTCTCTTTAACTATGTTAATTTGTATGTTTTCTAGCCATTAATTTAAAATGTGACGTCTGACATTTGTCATCTTACAATACCTGTCATTGTACTTGAAATTTCAGTAAAACGATTGGACTTATTAAATCTTAAATCCAAATCTTGAAATATTTGGGTTTTACGGCGTTTATTACACATCTAAGACAAAACTATTACAATCTGAGAACAGTAAACAGCGCCACCTGCACCCTAGTCCTCATACTTTTGCAAACGTTTCCTTTCACGTTTAAAGCCAAAATTGCATTGACAGGAAAACGGTTTTGACAGAGATCCTTAGAATGTAGTTGCAAGATACAGTAGTTTTTTTTTTTCAATTACTCTACACATCAGGCCCTCAGCATTTTTGTGAAATAACATTTTGAAGCAGTAGTTGCAATGGAAACGACAAGACTTTTGGATGGAGTGGGTAACAGTCGGCTAATGTAAACAACACTTATTAATATATTTTCATTGAAAAAGCGTCTTTCGCTCTGCATTTATTTACAAAATGGAACAAAGTTCACACCACTTTTTCACGGCAACCTTCAATTGCTTCTACATGGCCAATGGCTTTATAGCAGATACGGGGAATGAAACGTCCTCAGAGCACATCTGGTAGCCTGTTCAAGGTTTGCTGTCGGTGAGGAATCATCCGTGTTTATGTAACGTCTACCTGCCTGATTTGTATTTTTTGTACTCATTTTTCTTTGGTCTAGAATTAATATCAGCATTACCCATCTTTATTAGCCCGCATTTATGTTTTTGTGTAAAACGGACGTACATAGGTACACATCACATTGATTACAAATCAAAACTCTGTAATCCGTTCGGGTTTTTTTTTACATTGGCGGGAACGGGAAACCTAAAGTAGTATCTCGCTGCCAACAAAGATGGCTAAAAATAATCCATAAAATCACTTCACGACTGTCGACATGTAAACAATGTAGATAAAGAGGATTTGTAGTATATCTATCACCGCATATTAAATGTCTAATAGTAAAATGTAGTTTAAAATAACATTGAATTCAGTTATACAGTATCGACTACAGTAACGCAGTTGAACACACCTCAGACTCTGCAGCTTTGGCGCCGAACCTTTCACCTTATGTGGTGCATACCAACTGTCACACATAGGGTGGGTGTTAAACACTAATGACGAGAGCTTTTCTTTAATTAAATTTCATAAACTTAAAATGATATTCTGGAATCATACAGAATTATTTTTGTTTACAAATATTATTGACGTCCAGTGTCCGCCATGCTTGGTTTCATAATTATTTAATTTAACCGACCTCCCCTACACTGGACAATTCAAGCATGCCCAATTTGCTCCCTCCTCCTGTCGCCATCTTGGTGCCTGTTGTTTCTGTGTTTTCATGGGGGGGGAGAGTTTGCTTTTTCCGAATAGTTTGCTTTAAATAACTTCATTCTAACCATTTATTGATTAAAATTGATAGCTTTTCGCTCCTTCCATTCGGTGGAAGGAGAGGAATTTTCCAGTTCCCTATCGTCTCGTTGATTTGTCTTTTGTGAGGGAAAATTACCTGGGAATCCGAACATGTACATTAAACAGGTACAGTAAAAACTGCTCTTCTTCTTTGGTGGAGAAAAACGTATTCGAGAGGGAAATTAGAAACAACGCCTTTCAGATTAGACAGAGTTCCTTTGCCTTTGTAGCTGTTGGTGACTTGAATAAAATTGTGAAATGGTTAAAAATAGTTGCAACTTGGGCAATGAATGAGTTGACGTCCGTGTTTACAAGCCTTCATCGGGTAGACGTTGGAGTTTCTGTACGTCGGGTTTGAGCCTTGAAATACGACGGGAATACTGTAATCTTTTTATTTATAAAGGGGTAGTATGTTGCTTGCTGAACCAATATTGTTTTGCAACCAGGAGTTCGTCAGCTGAAAGAAGTAGGCCTCAGGCTATCTAAATATCTGCAGGAAAAGGGGATTTTTTCAGAGATGAGTGCTTAAACTAGCTTTCTTAGATGGCGAGCTGCTGCTGTTGTTGTTGATTCTCTTGCTGAACATTTGGCTTGTGATGTTTCTGTGCTGAATGACGTAGAACGATGGGAGCAGGGGAGAGGGCTGTCACATTGTGTGATCCGGAAAGACAAACGAACCGAGGAGAAAGTTCAAAGGTCCATCCCGCATCCCAACACCACCGGTGTTTCAATCTAAATGATTTAAAAACAAGTTTCAAATCTTAAGAGTGATTTGAGGTCCGAAAGTCTTCAAGTGCTTGAAGTTGCAGCCTGTGTTGTATCTACCCAAGTGTGCAGTTTCTTTTGCCTAGAGGCAGGTTAAGCAAAAGTGGACAGTAAACCCCAGCTCGAAATGAATACTGTTAGCTTTACCTGGGATCATACTTGCAGTACGTAGGAGGTTTTGCTCCGAACGTGACTCTGATATCGAAACTCATCGGTAGTAGCTTGGTAGTTGATAGAAGCGATGACTGCATTGTGTTTGTGTGGGTGCTTGTGAGGGGGTTCCTGGAGTCCATGAACATCCCCCAAACTGCAGCTCAAGGGTGATTTATGAAATTCAGCAACTATTGTGCTGGAGTTTGAACCATACTGGTTTTAAACATAAATGCCGCTTGCCCTTTTGGGTGCCAAAGAAGCAAATAAGAAAGTAAAAGCAAAAGCAAAGTGTGAGATAAAGGAAAAAAGAATTCAGAGCTACAATTTCACAGGTTACAACAACATCCTTTTCAGAGAGAAGAGGTAATCGGGGAATTGAACATGGGGTTCAACAGATAGTGTCTCGGACAACTAAGATAAGATAAGATCACTTTATTGGCCATATATAAAATTCATCTTTTTGCATACCCCAGCTTGCTCTCCATGAGACACAGACACACAGACAGAGAGAGAAGCTTGGTGTCAGAGCGCAGGGTCAGCCATTGTACAGCACCCCTGGAGCAGTTAGGGTTAAGGGCCTTGCTCAGGGGCCCAATGGAGTAGGATTCCTCTGCCGGCCGTGGGATTTGAACCGGCAACCTTCCAGCCACAGGCGCAGATCCTAAGCCACAGAGCAACCGCTATTTCTATTTCTATTTGCACTATTTCTGATACACATGCTTTTACCAGTGCATGTTAATACACACACACATTTATTACATAAATCAAAGAAGTAGAAATCTCTAAAATCCTATGGTTTTTACAAAAATCTCTATAGTGACAACGTGAGACACCTGATAGTAGACGGCAAGCATTTCCACCAAAGGGAAGCTAGATGGCTGATATAATGACTTAAGTCAACTTTTCTATGTTGAATAAACCAATATGTCTGGATTTTCTGAGAGAAAATACAATTAACACATTTCATTTAGCACAGTTTTAAGTATATAATACTTTGCTTTATTAAGTTATTGAAATGTTATTATTCATTATTGAATTATTATTCATTTTTGTCATTTGAAATATTTTAAGTTGAAAAATTGAAAGACTGTTTGCCTTTAATGGTTGGTTTCAGAAATTGAAATTGAAAGCGTTCTAGAATTTAGCATAATCTCTATGCAATATGATGGGTGTCACAATTTCTCCTGAATGTTTATCTTTTCAGGGTGGTGCTTAAACACTGACAATGCCTGTAAGATAAGTGTCTTTCCCCCCTGTGTAAATTAACCAGTTGTTTAGAAAACTATAGAAACCCAAAAATTGTAAAATAATTTTTAATTATAGGTGTGTTTGAAACATTTTTTCTTAAATTGAATACACATAAAGTGTATTAATAAATTGTGGAAACTAAGACCTGAGTGTTGAAATTAAATGCCTGGTTCAGTAAATTAAATTAATCAACAGCTCTTTTGGTACAAAAAACATAAGGTGCTTGGTACACTAGGACAAAGGCTGGAGAATTTCATCTAGATGTCTCCACTAAAAGTGCTGTTTTCATCTTCCTTCAGTAATTACAGCTTAAAGCACATGAAGTCATTCTATGTGGCTCATAACATGCAGTGTCTTGAAATTAACTATATTTGAATTGCAGATTTGATTTAGTTCTTTGTTTATACGGGTAGTAGAAACTGATGTAGAGGTAAGGATTTGAGATTGTAGCAGTGTATGAGAACCAACCTGGGTGAACTTCCAAAATTATCTCTACATTTACTTTACCATAATCCCTGCTCCAAGAGAGCACCTTTTCAGCACCTCCCATTAAATCATACATTTAAAACATTGCTGTGATCATTTAAACAGGTGACAGTCACAGTAGTGATCTGACAATTAGCAATCTTTTAGAAGAAAAATGTAATGACCCTTGAGTTTCCAAGGGTTCTTAATTGGTATAAATCTTAATAAAATCAATTCTTAATTGAGAAATCACTTGACTAATAATGATCCTAACCGGACTGGTCTCACTGGGTGGTTGAGGCTGATTCCAGTGAATTCTTCAGGAATTGGCTGGATGAGATATTGGTTAAATTAAACCCAATAAAATAGAAAAACTAAATGGCCTTTCTTTTTGTAAACGTTGTATATTGTGGATTCCATATATTAGAAAGTACATTGATATAACGCTGAGTAAATATATCTGAATGTTTATTGAAAACATTTTAAAGTCTGTTCTTAATTTCTACATTTGGATTTTGATAGTTTGAGGCTAATTTCATATTCTCCATTAAAAAGACATGAAGATGTTAACATTTTAAGTTTTTTTTTAAAAAATCAAGAATTTCTAGTATGATCATGCTTTGGGTATTTTTTAATACTTAATAGAGACTGTTTTTGTTTGGTCAAATGTGATTCTGTCATCGATTCAGAAGGGAGCCACAGGCTACAGAAGGAATCATAAATCGTTTTGTTTTTTCTCTAGGTAATTATACAAGGTTTCCGAAGTTACAGGGATCAAACTGTTGTTGATCCATTTAGTCCAAAGCACAATGTTATCGGTAAGTTGTTTGGCTTCTGAATATTTGGAAGTTGTACAAGGATTAAAAAAATATAAGTATTTAAATGTATTGAAACAAGGACAATTTGAACGATGGGCTTGACTTAGATTAACATGTAAATTGAAGCAGCAGTGGATATTCTGAATTTCTGTGTAGAGAATAACATGCATAATGAGCTTTTCGCTTGTTTTATTTTTAGTTGGACGAAATGGATCTGGGAAAAGTAACTTTTTCTATGGTATGTACTGTGTTCTAAACACGTCTGCTATACTCTTAAACATATTACCACACATGATGGTTTTTTAAATGCCACACTAATGTTCCCTATTGTTTATTATTCTCATTAAAAGAATGTAAATATTAACATTTATTTTTTCATGGATTATCGCATCTTGTCTGATAAGAATATTGTTTCTTACCAAAGCAGATGTTTTGAGCTCTGACCTATCTGTTGCTGCCTGATGATTTTCTTGACTTTGTTAACCACATTTTTCTTCATTTGCAGCCATACAGTTTGTGCTCAGTGATGAGTTCAGCCACCTTCGCCCAGAGCAGAGGCTGGCTTTGCTGCACGTAAGTTTAGAATTTCTTACAAGCAATATGCCGATAATTTACTTTGTTTTGTATCGAAATTAGTATATTACAGTACTTTTGCAATGTGATTGTTTGTATAATATGTGAACAAGCAGTAACTAATTGTTTTCTTTTTAATGTATAGGAGGGGACTGGTCCTCGTGTTATCTCAGCTTTTGTGGAGATTATATTTGACAATTCTGACAACAGGTTACCAGTAAGTATGTCAAAATGGTGAAAAATAGGATTTACTTGGAATTTTTTATAGTACTTGTAGGTTGATTTAAATTTAAAAGGATATTTAAAGTAGCACTGTTAAGAGAAAAAAATATATACTTGGAACTTATTTTTTGAGCAGTGGTTGCTCACTCTTTCTAAAATACAAGAATAAATTCCATATTTCTTCACATCATTTAATATTAATCACTGATTTCTACATGCATTTTGAAGACCGCTTACCATATGAATCATTTACTGAGTGAGCACAGGTAAAATATATATCTAATGTGTTTATAGATCGACAAAGAGGAAGTCTCTCTCCGTCGTGTCATTGGAGCGAAAAAAGATCAGTATTTCTTAGACAAAAAAATGGTGACGTAAGTACATTTTACAGTGCATTTATTATTCATCGGATGATCTTAATACAAGTTTTAAAATGTTTGGCATGTATTTTTGATTAATGTGTTTTTTCATCACAAAGCAGTCTCACAGTAAGATATCTAACATAGAAATGATCCCATTTCAGGAAAAATGATGTCATGAACCTCTTGGAGAGTGCTGGCTTTTCTCGCAGTAATCCATATTATATTGTCAAACAAGGAAAGGTGAGGTTTTACAAGTAACAGAAAAGGTTGAGGTTTTACACGTTTTCTATTATTCTAATTGCCTTAAATTTCCAATTTCATTTCATAATTTCTAATTTTAAGGATATCAGGATTTTGGTCAAGAACAGTGTTTAATCTGGATAGATTATTCAGTATGTTTTATGTTTTTTATATGAATTTCCGTGTGTGTTTTCCAGAGGTTGCTTGTTTTCTCTGTATGGTTGCTTTGATTGTTGATATCTGATAGCGTTAGTTCTTAATCCTTTATCCTGTTTTTCCAGGGAAGGGATTGTTAGAAGGTTATTAACTTTAATGATAATAATTATATGGAACTGGTTATTAGTTTGATAAGGTTAATGTTCTTTGTAAGTACTGTTAATGACTTCCTCTATTTAACTATTTTAATAAAATAAACAAGATTGCTTATGAAAAATAATTTTATCATCAGGTAATTAACATCTGACTTTTTTTGTATGTTTTAAAATTGTGAAATTGACAGTGTGACTGCCTGTTTATTAGTAATGATAGAAAATACCTTGTCATTATTCTTCAGATCAATCAAATGGCTACAGCTCCAGACTCTCAGCGTTTGAAACTACTGAGGGAAGTGGCAGGGACAAGAGTGTATGATGAACGGAAGGAAGAGAGTATCTCCCTGATGAAAGAAACTGGTAAAATTCAAATAGGGATTTTTCAAAGATTAAACTAATACTCCGAAATTTAACCAATACGTATGAACCATTTTAAAGGCTATTTAGAATATTGGAGTAACATTATTCAGTGACTGAATTCCTCCTTTTTGGAGAGAAGCAACATTTTGCTTATGTTTCAAAGCCCAGTAAATCCCAATTGGTAAAAGGAAATTATCAGGTTAAGGAATACAAGAAACAAAACTGCAATTGTAATAATTCAGTTAGACCTTTTATGACCTTAATCCAGGATTAAGTTGTATTTGTACCATTTGTTTTTGTTGTTGTTTACCAATTGCCAACTGGTAATTAAACCATTCAGTCTGGAAAGGGATATGTAGTTGTATCAAATATTTGTAGCAGTATTTAGATACATTTATTTAAATTAGTTTATATTAATTAAAGAATATCATAAAGGTTACAAACAAAAGGAGGTCAACCCATTTGTAGATAATTGATCTGATGATCTCTTTCAGCTGATTCTTAATGCTGCCATTGTATTTGCTTCAACCACATTGCTAGGTAGATTGTTCCACACTACCTCAACCCTCTGTGTAACGTAGCATCTCCAAATGTTTTTTTAGATGTATAGTGGTTTCTACTTGTATACTCTTGTTCATGTTTCACTAAATTCCAATTGAAAATAAGAATTTAAAACTTAAAGAATTTAATTTAAAGAATAAAGCTTTTTCTTCCTTCAAATTTGCTTTAATTGTACAGATTTTTTTCATCATTTAGATCCTCATAAATCCCCCTTTTGATTGAACATTTCCCTGAGACTGAAAATAACCAGTAGTCTTGTGTTCTTGCTTAGAGGGAAAAAGAGAGAAAATTAATGAGCTGCTGAAATACATAGAGGAGAGACTTCACACCCTGGAGGATGAAAAGGAGGAGCTGGCCCAGTACCAGAAATGGGACAAAATGAGAAGAGCCCTCGAATACACTATTTATAACCAGGAGCTAAATGAGACCCGGGCCAAACTTGATGAGGTACATTCATAATGCATATTTTAAAAAAATCCAGATGTGAATGCATAGGGTCAGGTGTTTTTTGTTTTGATTTTTATGGATTTTTTTGTAGTCTATATTTTATTATTCCAAGATAACGTATATACTGCCAAAAATCTACAACAATGACTTTTGAGATAAAAATATATTCAGATAAAATATTCACAGTTTCTCCTACTATTTCTATTCTAAAATGAACCTCCAGAAAATAATACGCATGCTTAGCTCAAATCCCAAATGACCTGCTGCTGTGGACAGTGAAGGGGTTGAAGGAAAAAGAAGTGTAGCAAATGTTTAAATAAGTACTACAGTTCTGGAGGAGATGGTCCTTGTTAAACTGTTTTTTTAATATATTTTTTTTAAGCTGTCTTCTAAACGAGAGACATGTGGAGACAAATCCAGACAATTGCGTGATGCTCAGCAGGATGCTCGAGACAAAGTTGAGGTAAAGAACAATGAAGCAGTGTCAAGGAGAAAATGTTTGTCACTGCCAAGTACAATTTCATTTCTAAAGGCTGAATAGAACTGATCTGAGAGTGTTTAATGGTATATTGAACTGCTTTTGGAAATAATCACTGGATTTACTGTTCTTTTTCCTTCTTTCCGTCTTCAGGAAACGGAGCGTGTTGTTCGAGAACTCAAAGCCAAAATCTCTGCCATGAAAGAAGAAAAGGAGCAGCTTAGTGCTGAAAGACAGGAGCAGATCAAACAGAGGACCAAACTAGAACTGAAGGCGAAGGATCTGCAGGATGAGCTGGCAGGCAACAGTGAGCAGAGGGTAAGAAACTCAACTTAACGATTGCTAAAGGTAGATAAGAAATCAATGTTCTCTTCAATATAAGGAAATCGGTTAAGTGCCTTAATCTGAGATATTAAAGGACTTGCAGGATTCACTAGGTTTCTTTATAAACTGGATGCACCCTACTAGGACCCTCACCAGGAAAAGTGTACAGAAAATGTATGTATCTCATGGCTTTTCATTTACAGGAAACCTGAAGAGTTAAGACAGTGGAGCAAAATGTCATTAATTTCCCTTAAATCAATGTTCTTCCATTTTTTTTTTGTCTTGCTTGTGGCTTTTTTCCCAGAATTGCAAGGTTAGACCCTTGCTAAAACTCTGGAGAACTGTGGTTTCCTTTTACAGTGAAGTAGGAACTGGCTGTGTCTCCACACTTCTCCGTGCCTAAGCGTACAAATACCTATCATCTACATCATTCTGTCATGCTTTATTTCATGGGTTTTGTAGAAATGGACAATATGAAAGTAAATGAATTTGTATAAGAAATAATGTTGTACTAATATAACAAAATAAAAGGAACTGTGTTTCTCTTTTTTGGGTTTATTTTTTCCCTACCACAGAAACGGTTGCTTAAGGAAAGGCAGAAATTACTGGAAAAGATTGAAGAGAAACAGAAGGAGCTTCAAGAAACTGAGCCCAAATTCAATGCTGTAAAGGAAAAAGAAGAAAAAGGAATAGCAAGGTTTGTGTACCAAAGTGATACTAGATTGAAAACTATAATGTAAATACAACTGCCAAAAGCTCAACAGTGTAGTTGGTAAGCATTCTGTGACAGCCTTTTCAGATAGTGTCCAAGAAAATGCACAGGAGACATAGGGCTGTCTATCATGATTGTAATGTCACGACATTTGTCTCCTAGTCAAAAGTTATTGTGCGGGTTTTAAGAAAAGTAGAAGTTAATATCTCCACACTTTTCATAAATCATACGAGTTCATACACTAAATGTGTTTCATTCCATCTTTATTAATTTCTCAACTGTTCCACCAGACTGGCCCAGGCCACGCAGGAGAGGACAGATTTGTATGCCAAGCAAGGCCGTGGCAGTCAGTTCACTTCTAAGGAGGAAAGAGACAAATGGATTAAGAAAGAGCTGAAGTCCCTTGATCAGGCCATCAATGATAAGAAGCGTCAGATTGCAGCCATTCACAAAGATCTGGAAGACACAGAGGCCAATAAAGAGAAGAACCTGGAACAGTACAGTGTATGAAGTTCACTTTTGCAAAATACAACTTAATTTGGAAAGAAGTGCATCTACCCTTTAATATAGGCTTCTGTTGTTAATCTGTTGTGCAGCTGAGGTGAATTTTAATTGGGGAATATTGTTTTAGTTGATTCTTTTCATGCATCACTTCAAACTAGAACAGACCTTTGCTTAAAAATATGTGGATATGATTAACGTGTTCATGGGAAAATACATTTTATCCTTTCGAGTAAGGTGAAATAATCAGTTAAAGTTATGTATCTGACAAGTAAACATTAGCCTGTAGTTTACCAGACCTTAACTGTCACTTACATTGAGCTGTATATTGCTATTTTAGTTATGCAAGAATACAACTAATTCTAATAAGGGACTAAATAATGACATCCTGAGGTTTAGCTGTTAGTTTATAGTTAATTTTGTAACATTTTTTACATTGGTAAAAAAGTATATTTTAAATACAAAGATTTAAGTGTAATTTAAATTAAGGTAAGCAAGTGCTAGACTCAAAAATATATTTTTTTGCACAAATTTACAAAATGATTCTATTGTTATTTTAATATGTTGAGGTCATGAGAAGTGACATGAGATTTTGTGTTTTTTTTAGAAACTAGATCAGGATCTGAACGAAGTAAAGACTCGTGTGGAGGAGCTAGACAAGAAGTACTATGAAGTGAAGAACAAAAAAGATGAGCTTCAGAGTGAAAGAAAGTAAGATATTTTCAAAACGATGCCTTATAACTGACGCTGGTACTTTTCTTGAATGTTCAGCATGTCCATTTTGCTAAAGGCTATCTCTTTAATCTTTCCATCAGCTTTACCTTTTTTATCTCCTTTAAGTGCAGTGCATTTGACATATCTCACATAACTGAAGAATACACTCCCTTTAGTCTTATTTAGTATAATGTTGTTACAGGTAATTAATTTTAAGCCTGGTGAGGTATAGGAGATGTTTTTTCTTGTAAAAGAAAAACGTCTGAGCTCAATGAACAGCATTTTCATTATGAGCCCAAGAGGTTTCTTTTGGGTGTTTAAAAACAGTCTTGATCTTGATTATCAGGGAGGGTTAATGGTTTTGGAAGCATGAAAGTAAAAGGTAAAAAAAAGTATTACTTTATTTTTTCTGAGGTGTTCTTTGTGGTTTGTATCCACAGTTACCTGTGGAGAGAGGAAAACGCAGAACAGCAGGCATTGGCTGCGAAAAGGGAGGATCTGGAGAAGAAACAACAGCTTCTGAGAGCAGCAACTGGGAAGGTCAGGCACTGTTAGGTTTCCACAGGTTACCATACTGTATCCAATGTATTACCATAAGGATATATTTTTCTTGTCATTGTTTCCTGCGCATTGTTCTAGCATTGCATTTTTTTGGAGATTATAGCTCAGACAATTAAACAAGTGTTGTTTAAATGAGAGTGTTTTTTTATGTGTCAATGCATTCAACAGACGTTGATGCTGAAATTAACCTGGAACAAAAAAAAGCTGATGGGTGGGTTATTAATTCAATATTGTTGTGACTGCAGGCTATTCTGAATGGGATTGACAGCATTAATAAAGTACTGGAGCACTTCCGCAGAAAAGGCATCAACCAGCATGTCATTAATGGCTACTATGGGATAGTGATGAATAACTTTGAGTGTGAGCCTGCGTTCTACACCTGTGTGGAGGTTACTGCTGGGACCAGGTAAGCAGTATAAAGGGCCCACTATTTCTGGAGTAAAAACTACAAATCTGGCTTAACTTTTCAAACTTTCAGTATTTGTATGTGCTTTACATTTCATTGAGTGGTAAAAATGTGAAGTGTGTTACATGATGTGTTTTGGTCCCAAAAAAAAACATTTGGCAGTAAACAATTTTTCATTTGAATTTTTCACAATTATTGCTTTCCTTAGGTTGTTTTATCATATTGTGGAGACTGATGAAGTCAGCACCAAAATCTTGATGGAGTTCAATAAAATGAATCTGCCTGGAGAAGTGACCTTCCTTCCTCTGAGTAAACTGGATGTCAGAGATACAGCATATCCAGAGACCAATGTAAGGCATCCACTCAGAAACTAGCCAACTGTATACACAGATCTATCTTATGCACTTCATTGTTTTGCACATTTCACTATTTTCTGAAATTTCCAACATGTTTCGAATAGAAAATGTACAGTAATCATATTTGCAAAGGACCGTAAATGGAGAAAATTGATTTGACAGGTCGGGGTTTAATGGTGCAGAAGCTTATTAGCACCCTGGAGAAAAAAATATTGTTTTGCATTTAAATGAGAAACTTGCATTTATAAAAGGTAATATTGTGTTAGAAAACAAAACTTTTTGTGTTTATATTAGGTAGTATTGCTTCAAAATGCAATAGTTAATTTGTGAACATTATTGTCTACTATATTAATACCTTGCATTATACAGTATATGCAATAATATTGGATTGTTCAGTGCAAAGTAGCATTGACATTAACAACTGAAGAATATCGGCACACTCCTCTTTGTGCAAAAGAGTTGATCTAAAGGTGCACATGAAATGTCTTTAATTCTCATGAATTAATTATGGTGTATTTATACAATGTTATCTTTTTCTTTTCTTCTCAGTGGTTCTCCTTTTATTGGTTGTGAACATTTGGCAAAAGTTTTCCTTTAGTTATTAAATGTGAAGTTTGTTTTAAATGTATTATGTTTTCCTAATATCATGTTAAAATCATGTTTTAAAATAGACTAATTATATCTATAAGCTATAAACTCTGGGTAATAAGTTTTTTTAATGAATGAACTTTATGATTCTTCCACATTTCAGGATGCTATTCCAATGATCAGCAAATTGCGTTACAATCCTAAATTTGATAAGGCTTTCAAGCACGTATTTGGCAAGACCCTTATTTGTCGTAGCATGGAAGTCTCGACTCAGCTGGCCCGGGCTTTTACAATGGACTGCATCACTTTAGAAGGTATGCATTTGCATTTACGTGAGAGGAAACCTTTTAAGTGAAAGAGTCACATTTGTTCTTGGATTAAACAGACTCTAAGTGACTTTTGGTTTTTGGTGGATTTTGCAAGACCAAAGCGGTGTAATGTACAGGTTAAGCTTCAAATGTTTAATTCAATACCATGCTGTTTGCAGGATGAGAAGATTAGTCATAACGGATTCTTGAGTTTCCATCTGCTGATGTTTGCCTGGTTGATGATAATTGGCCCAGGATAGGTCATTTCTGACTCAGAGCAAATATCACTAACGAATTGATCAATCACCTGGTGTTTGTGCAGATGAATGAGTAGGATTAAAAAAAAAAAGTGCACAGGTGTTTCATTTTGTTGTTTTGTTTAGAATCCTATTTGCCTAGAACTGCCTTTCCGTTAAAAAAAATGAGTAGGAGATCATTTTCACTAAACTATAGAAATGACCCTAGGTGAGTCACTATTCTTCAGCAAGATAGCCTGCATCATTTTAAATGTTGCGCATTGTGCTTATCTAATGTAAAAGCACAGTCTTTCTAAATCTCATGTACCTATACTAACAGGTGGAAAAATGTTTTTATTTTCTTCCCATATACAGTATTAACACTACTGTAATATTAATGTTATATTGCTATTCTTGTATTATACTTCGGGTAATTCAATATAATGATCAACTAACAGTTTCTAGAATATGCCTTTATAAACAAGGCCTATATGAAATATTGGCTGTATCAGGATTAAAGCACTGGGAGGCATCATGTTGGTATGATCTGCAGAAAACTTAAGAACAAGTTGTCTATTTTTTGAAAATACCTTTAAAAATCCATGGAAATAGTCTTGGTCTAGATATGCTGTTTAAGAACTCAATTAAAAAAAATCCAAGTGAAAAATCATGGAATGCAGGTGATCAGAAGGTTAAAATGTGTGCATTAATTTAAAGTCTTTCTCTTTGGGCAGTAATTAAAAGTGACTGAAAAGCTCTGAGTTGAAGAGGGTTTTTCTGCCAATTGTCAATAAGGTTAAATTGTCACGCATCCATTTAAAAGCAGTTTCCACGATGCGTTTCTGGTTGCATTTTGTTATTCATACATTTTGAACAGGCTCATGTATAGCAGACAAGATTATTCAACGATTTGTTGATTATTTTGCTCATCTTTGTTGGGGATGATATTTAAGAATCTCAGTTCTGATAATTGAAATGGACAAGCTCATCTGCATTCAAATGTGATTTGTGTCAAGTCCTTCTGAATGTAATGTAACACTGCAGTGCTTCTATGGAGATAAGTTTCTTTCTTGACTTTCTTGACTTGGTGGGTAATCACAACCTTTTACACTGAATTGAAGTAGTAGTAATTCTAATAGAAAAAATACTTTAAGAAAATTCCTGTAATATTTTTTCATCTTTGACAGTCATTCTATTACGTACTTTCATAAGTAAAAGGTGTGTACAATAGGTACCATGTTGTTATTGGAAATTGGATAGTCAGGAATCCAAGTCTGGATTTGGATGAAGACAAAAGAAAATGAACAGAAAATGGAAAGTAACTATAGTCACAAATTGTCACAGGTAAAATAATGTAAATATTAATTCACTATTTAGGCTAAAAATAGCTGATTTCACTGTTGCTTCAAGGTAACAAAATGTAAGTTAACAGTGTAACATTCTAAATTCCCAAATGCAACTTCCATATACAGTATTAAACTTTTAAAAACTTTTATTATTATAAACTTTTACAGTAATAAAGATAAACCATATTCTCTTAGTAAACAGTACTTTTGTCAAATTACTGTGCTGCTTGTATCCACATTTCCCAGATTCATGATATTTGTAAAGGTGGTCTGGAACATTGACCTAATGGTGTGTACACAAGACAGACGGAGCTAAATTGGTACTTGTCTTAATATTTAAAGAAGTGTTTTATTGCTGTTCTTCAACGTGTAATGAAATAAGAAGGAAGGAGTTCAGAATACCCTTAAAGGTAAAAAGAAATGAAATGGAGCTTTTTTTTTCCCCGACTCAAAGGTGACCAGGTGAGCCATCGAGGTGCTCTGACAGGAGGTTACTATGACACCAGGAAGTCCAGGCTGGAACTGCAGAAGGATGTGAGGAAAGCTGAGGAAGAACTCGGTGAACTGGAAGCCAAGCTGAATGAAAACCTGCGACGAAATATTGAAAATATCCTTTATTGACCATACTGGAACTGCAAGTGCTTTTGATTAGTTTGAATGCTCAAAGCTTAAGTAAAAGATATTTCTGTTTCGTTAATTATTCTGAGTTTTTTTTAGATTAAGATAAAAATGTACTCCTTTTCAATATATATATATTTTTAAATGTAAACCACATACAGTATAAACACTGTATTCTAGCAATATTTAAAAGTTATCCATCAGTCATTTTTAACTCTATTATGATGAAAGGTGAATTTAGGTTGTTTACATAACATACCTTGTGGGTGGTATGAAGGTTCAGGATGAGTTAGAATCCTATATTTTATGTTTATTACAGAGGATTAAATTGTAAAGGCAATTAGGAGATACCATGGTGAGTCATTTTAAAGAGGCATCCTGCTGGGACTGCTGTGTCATAGCCCCAGATAGCAGAGCCCAGCAGTACAGGTGAAGGAACATGCTGGGTTGAAGGGATGAATAGCCTGATTGACATGATGTGATTGTTAGGATAAGAGCTGAAACTGTTTTTCAGAAATATCAATTTTATAAAGTAACAAATATAGTTATTTGTGCAAAAAATGTTATTTTACTCCAAAACAATGCTTGTTTTTAAATGTAGGTTTTACACATCGGTTTTCAAACCACTTTATCCAGTAAAGGATCGTGGGATAGTTGGAGCCCATCCTACCAACCGATGAGTGCAGGACAGGATACACACAGTCCATCGTAGGGCACGCACACACTCACACCAGGGCCAGTTTTCCTAAAAGCCAGCAAATCAGTATGTCTTGGACTATGGGAGGAAACTAGAGCACATGGAGGAAACTCATGCAAATACAAGGAGAACATACAAACTTCTTGCACACAGCATTCCAAGAATTGAACCCAGGGTCCCAGTGCCACTGCACCACTGTGCCTCCCTAAATAGGGGATTAAAATGATCATTTATAAAAAAAGTTTTAGCAAAATTGCACTTTATTTTTGATTGCTTTTAATATGAATGGAATATTTTTCAAATAACTCTAGTTATAATAAGCCTTTCTAATTAAGTTTATTTTTATTTCTAAATACAGGTTGTTTTTCTTTGGATCAAGTTGTAATCCACTGTGTTGTTCAGCTTTTATAAAAATACTTTAGTAATATTGCAACTGGTGTGTTAGAAAATCCTCTTTTTTTAGCTTTTGTAATGTCAAAGGCATATTTTTCTTAGTGCTTTGTATGGATCAATAATGAGATTGACCAGCTAATGAACCAGATGCAGCAGATTGAGACACAACAAAGGAAGTTTAAGGCCTCCCGTGACAGTATCCTCTCTGAGATGAAGATGTTGAAGGAAAAAAGGCAACAGTCGGAGAAAACCTTCATGCCAAAGGTAATCCTTTGGGGTCCCTTCTGGTTCCAGGCTAATTGATTTATGTTGTCTATGTGAGGCACAATTTTAAATTTGCTTTAATCTCTTAAAATATTAAATGGGAGTTGTGTTTGGTATGAGTAATCAAGTAGATCAATTAAAGGTATTACTCAGCGCCAATTAACAGCTCAGTTAGAAAAAAAAATTAACTACTGTGTCTGCCAGTATTTAATATTGCACATATTGGTTGAAGAATTGTCATTTGCTTAATTCAATTGCGACAAAAGAATTCTGAGCTTCCGTTTAGCTTTTTCGTTTGTATTGAAAGTTGTGTTCTTTCCAAGTCTTGTCATAATGTATGAATGATACAGTTAAGGGTAAAATAGATGATAATCTGTATTTTGTTGTGAACATAATTCTTGTAAACAGGTTTATTGTAACATGGATAATCTTCTTATTCTGGTTTATTACAGAAAAAGAGGGGAGTTATTTTTTATTAATCTTTTTAAACTTTCTTCTTCTCATAGGCATTTGTTTTTTTTTGTACAAAAAAGTACAAAAGCCACCAATAGGGTTGCCTCTAGTTTCTTCACACTTATATGGAAGCATGTGTATGAATAAGCTTAATTTGAGCAGATCTGGCTTGCTTTATATTAGCAACACAAACACATTACATAACAGAAGCACAAAACCCAACAAAAATATTTTTTAAGAAATAGGAGTAAATTAAGGTTATAGTAATAAGGACAATCGTTTCAGGAACTCTGTCTTCCAAATGTCCAGTGTCCCATTGTCCTGAGTTACAAATGATATGTACACAATTTTTAAATCATATTTTTAATCAAAACTGAAACAGAAGAAAAATAAGTTAAACGTTATCAAAAACTGTGAATTAACAGTGAAATGTTGATGGCATAATTTGTGGTCTTAAGCTGAAAGTTGTGTGCTTATAATTGTGTCTTTCAGCAACGTAGCTTGCAGAGCTTGGAGGCGAGTTTGCATGCCATGGAGTCAACACGCGAGTCGCTGAAAGCAGAGCTGGGTACTGACCTCCTGTCACAGCTGAGTCTGGAGGATCAGAGACGAGTCGATGATCTTAATGATGAGATTCGCCAGCTTCAGCAGGTAGGAGGCAAATCAAAAGCACTAGATTACAGCTGTCTAAAATTCAGTATCTGTTGATCTAGCTGAAAGCTTATTCATGCTTATTGTGTGAGTTCAAGCAAAAGGGTGTCTCCAAAAGGGAGTCTTTTGCAATTTTAATAGACTGAGTAGGTGTAAGGCTTTGATTCAGATCTTATAAATATAAAACCTTCTATTGTTAGAGCATCTAAAACTGATTAGTAGTAATCTGGTTTCACTGACAGTCAGAAACATTTTCTTTTGTGTTTTAAGTTTTACAATACAAATGTTTTTCTTAGCTCCTTTAAAAATGTTATATTAAAACGACATTCTGAATGTTATATATTGCTCTCTGGTTGTTTGGGTGTTACTGAGTTTAACAATAGTCCTGACACCATTTATATACAAGTAAAGTATAAAAGTTTAACAATAAAACAGGAATACCAAGTAAGGACTTGTAGCTTCTATAATTTTCTGTCAACAATTTTGTTGTTGAGAAATAAACAGTTGTATAAAGGACTAATTCATATTGCTATGTACATAAGGCTATGAATTCCAGAGCTCAAGCATTACAAATCTTGACACTTAACTAATATTGACAAACTAATACATTCAGTATTAGACAAATTAACTTTTCATAAAATAAGTAATCCCTTATCTTCTAGTGTAAACTCACACTTTAGAGTGCTAAAGTACTAAACAAATGCTAAAAAAGCAGTTCCTGTACATTAATGCATCTGAATCCAAATGGGAATGGCAAGCTTTACCTACTGGATTGAGATATTTCCACAATTATGGCAGGCACAGCTATTTAAGTTTAAAGCTGCATCCCTTCTTTGCCACATACGTGATTGGTTTCTCTTCATCATTGAGGAATGTAAGTGGTGGAATTTGTAGTGCTGAAAATGTGTCACTCCTTCAACTTACTCCTAGTTTTACTCCTTTGTAAGTAAATGGTAAATAAATCTCATACTGGCCTCCCATATCTAGGCTAAAAGGTGTCAGTTTGGTTGAGGTGTCACTCATTTGAGGGTTGCTGGTTTAATTTAAGTATTAAGGTTAAGGTATAGAGTATAATTAAGCTTATGGTATATAATGGTGGTACAGTGGTAAGCATTGCTGCCTTGCAGAGCTGTGGGCCCTGGGTTCAGTTCTGGACTTGGGTACCAACTGTGTGGAGTTTGTATGTTCTCCCCATGTTTGCATGAGTTTTCCCCAGGTGCTCCAGTTTCATTCCAGAGTATAAAGACATACTGGTATGTTAATTGGCTTCCAGGAAAATTGCTTCTAGCTGCAAGTCTGTGCATGTCTGTGTTTGTATCCGTGTGTGCCCTGTGATGCTCTAGCGTCCCATCCAGGGTGTATCCCATCTGGCACCCGTTGCTTGCTGGGATCAGCTCCAGCTCCCCCACACCCCTGAATTAGCGTAGACGTTTATGAAATGGATGAATGGTATAATGTTAACCAAGGGAACTTTGAAGTAATGATGGAATATAGGAGTTTTAAAAATAATTATCATAGATTTCACATTTATGATTTTAAAATGTTAAGGCTATGAAGGGAAAATTGTATTAAAGTCATTGGGTTTAGTATCCTACTGTAATTAGGTTTTGATTAAAAGGAATAACTTTTTTCCCCCTCTTCTCCTTTTAGGACAACAGGCAGTTGTTAAATGAAAGAATAAAACTTGAAGGTATAATAACCAGAGTGGAAACTTATCTCAATGAAAATTTGAGGAAACGTCTGGACCAAGTTGAACAGGTGAAGTATTTTGTATGAAACTGAAGATACCCATTAAGGTAATAATAACAGCGTATTCAACATTGTGTTATTGGTGTTTATATTTATAGGAATTGAATGAGTTAAGAGAGACAGAAGGTGGCACTGTACTTACAGCTACCACATCGGAATTGGAGGGTATTAACAAACGCATCAAGGATACCATGGCACGCTCAGAAGGTGAGTTAGAGTTGTCAAAATTAAAGATCACTACCTGTGGTTGAAGAAGCTTGATGAGTATTACAAATATACAAACATTTTCATTTTGGATAGCATGCATTTAATGGTTTTTCATTGTACATAATTGTAATATAACAAAAAAGTGATTTGTGTTGAGTTTGTGTAATGCTTTTTTACAAAACAAGTTAATAAGCTTAGGCAATAAAATTTGTATAAAAACTTTAACATACATTAATAGAATATAAGGACATTGAGTAAATGTTGTAAAAGCTGTCTTTTGTCCAGATGCATTTAAGTAATTGATCATTTTGTGCGCAACAAACATCATGAGCATCTTCTTCCAGACTTGGATGGGCTCATTGACAAAACTGAAATTGAGATTAAGGACCATCTGAAGAGCATGGAGCGCTGGAAGAATATTGAAAAAGAGCAGAATGACGCAATTAATCATGACACCAAGGAGCTGGAGAAGATGACGAACCGGCAGGGTATGCTGCTGAAGAAAAAGGAGGAATGCATGAAGAAGATTAGGGAGCTTGGGTCCCTTCCACAAGAGGCCTTTGAGAAGTACCAGACTCTCACTCTCAAACAGGTAGCACATTAGTGTTTTGCGTTGTAAAAGGCAGGTGATGAAGCTTTGTTGTTTTTACCAGAGGATTTGTGTTCTTTACAGACATTCATTGCAGTCCTCTCATGTTCCAAGACCCCAGACTTGTGACAAATTGCATGAAACAGTGCTGCTGTGTCTTTACAATAAAATGTCTTACTACAGAAGTTGTTTTTATCTTCCGTATAAGAAGAATCGATTCTTATTTAGAAATGTTCAGTGTCCAGTCATGTGCGTGGTTTCTGTCCTTTCTTTATCAAAGAATCAGCAAGTGGTTACTTTGGAATCTTCAGTGACTCAACCCCTATCGCTGTCTTTGTCATTGGAACATCCTTCAACATGTTTTGAAATATACTAGACACAACAACTAGGGTCTAATTGACATTCACCCTTTTCCTTACTGAAATGTCGATTTCAATTGAATCCTTCCATGCTTATTATTTTTCCAGGATACTGGTTTCGTCTAATACTGTATACGTTAATGGTAATTTCTTAAGCCGGAAACAATGAATTTGTAAATGTGAATGGTGAATAAGAATTTTGGCAAACATTTTAATTTCTTTGTTTCATTTCTGTAGCTGTTTCGTAAACTGGAGCAGTGCAACACTGAGCTTAAAAAGTACAGCCATGTCAATAAGAAAGCTTTGGACCAGTTTGTGAACTTCTCTGAACAGAAAGAGAAATTGATTAAGAGGCAAGAGGAACTGGATCGGGGCTACAAGTCCATCATGGAACTGATGAATGTTCTTGAGCTGCGCAAATATGAAGCCATACAACTGACTTTTAAACAGGTAACACCGATACAATCCAGTACTCAATGTAGCGTTCAATCCCACATTCTCATAGTACAAACAAGCAGAATGTTCTTTTTTTGTACATTTGGAAGACAAGTGATGACATTTTTTGTAAGCTTTGAATAAAGGCGCAGACAAGGTGAAAAGATTTTGTTTGGATGTCTTAGTTTTGCGACTGTCCTTAAGGTCAAATGAGTACTTTTATGTGCCGTTCTGACAATTTGCTTTCTCTTGAACTTGATCCACACTGCTAGCCTAAACACTGACTCCATTACCTGACCTGAATATTCTCTTCTGATTGCCTTCAGGTGTCAAAGAATTTCAGCGAAGTTTTCCAAAAGCTGGTCCCAGGTGGTAAGGCCACCCTGGTGATGAAGAAAGGAGATGCAGAGGGAAGCCAGTCCCAGGACGAGGGAGAAGGAGGGGGTGACAGCGAGAGAGGATCGGGCTCACAGAGCAGTGTGCCATCAGTAGACCAGTTCACTGGAGTAGGAATAAGGGTAATATAAAAATCCTGGCTATTGACTACAGACCTCTTACATCATTTAATGACCGAGATGGGAAATGTGCTTTGCAGGCAAATAAAAAACAAAACGCAACACATAATACATTTAACACCTCATTAACCCCCTAACACAAAACATATATGCATAACATGAGAACAACAAGTTAGTAGCTTCAGTAATATTAACAGTTTAGAAAAGGAAACAGAGAAGTTGGGTCATCAGTGTGTGAAACGGATACACGCATGATGAAAAAATAAAAGTAAAATACACAATTACTTGTCCCAAATTAAACAGGTTAATAGCCGCTGGAATTGAGAATAACTTGGGTTTTTGGTTATTGGGTGGTCTAAATCAGACCCGGAAATCAGACCTGTATGGAAGGTGCTCATATTCACTATGCAAGGGGTGGTCATGCCAGTCAATGATAATATTTTCCTTCTACACCATTTATTTGGAATACATGTCTATCAGCTGTGTAGTCAGGTTACCAAACTGGGCTACCACAGTGAAATTTAGAACAGATTTAATCAAAGTTCTACTGAATGAAGTCATTGTTGTAGTACACACACTAAAAGAATGGAGTTTTCTTTGGAAGAACATTCACCATTGGCTCTTTTTAAGTATGGCATTTGCTAAGGTTAGCTTGTAATCAACAACAGGCCAAGAACGTATAAATGTTAACAATTTCAATTTCTTGCTCGTGTGTGATTGTTGGATTTGCTACTGGTAGTTGTTTTTTATAATCTCGGCCCATATCTCTGATTTTTGACACATTACATTGAAGGAAGACATTATTAAACATTAAAAATAATCCATCACAGGCCCATGATCAGGATCTGCACCTTGGAGTAGGTTGACAATGACAGAGTCATCTGTAAACGTGTTGAGGTGTTTTCTACAGCTGTCTGTATAAAGAAGTACAGGATGAGGGATAACACCCTGACCTGGGGAGACTTGGTGGAAGAAATATACCTCTTTCTCAGATTGTGTCATGTGTGTATTTCTCAGCTAAAGATGTGAATCGTTTAATTTCTTTTTTGAGAGAGGTCGCTCATATTTAAGTGAACTTTGGTGTTGTGATAGGTCTTTTTTGTGTGGTGTAAGTTACTGACTCACATTAGTGATTTAAGTCCCAGTCTCATGTATATGTATCTGTGGGGGTACTGCTGGTTTTGATATAGTCTCTTGAGGTTTAGGAAAAATGGATGGGGTTAATCTTGCATCCCTACAAGGATATCAACTTCTGGATTACCACAGTTCCTTCTAAAGGTCTTTTTTGTGAAGGGGTGGGAAGCGTGGATTGTAGAAGAGTTTTATCAGAGACCACTGCAGATTGAATTTCCTCTGTCTTTTATGCATTGTTAAGCACTGATAACACAAGTTGCAAGGATAATCAAAAACCAGTTATTAGTCTAACTCCAATAAGACATCTAATGTGCTTAGGGTCTTTATGAAATTAGTGTTATGTCCTACAATTTCTGGCCTGTACAGTACTTTGTCAGCTTTTAGGTATGAGATGTCAATACTGATGCTGCGAGCTGAACCCGCTCTGTTTGTGCACAGGTGTCGTTCACCGGGAAGCAGGGTGAAATGAGGGAGATGCAGCAGCTCTCTGGAGGACAGAAATCCTTGGTTGCTCTTGCTCTCATCTTTGCCATTCAGAAATGTGATCCTGCTCCTTTCTACCTTTTTGATGAAATTGACCAGGCCCTGGATGCCCAGCACAGAAAGGCTGTATCTGGTAAAACTACTAGAAATCATAATGAGTTGGGCCTAAAATGTAATTGTTAAAACTGCTATAGATTAAAAAAATATTTTCACATTGAACACAGTGGTTTTATCCATTTAATAAAAAAGACAAACTACAGTAAATTTCAACAAACAATTTCTCTGTGTTGGTTACAGGAGTATTGAGTATACTTACAATGCTTTAACAGCATTTTTCTCAATAATAAAGAAACTAATAATGACATGAAGAAATAAACAATCTTGGAGATGCTTCGAATTTGTATTTGGTATTTCTGCATTTAATATTCTGAGATATTATTAATTTGAACTCTTTGTTTCTCTTTAATGTACCAGATATGATTGTGGAATTAGCAGGGCATGCCCAGTTTATCACAACTACTTTCAGACCTGAACTTCTCGAGTCTGCTGATAAATTTTATGGAGTCAAGTTCCGCAACAAGGTGATTGGTTAAATCTTGTTTTAAAAAGCATTACACTGTATGATGTTTGTATAGATGAAGAACATGCTAGAATGTTTTGTTATTATGACAGCCATTTAATTTACCTATTTAAATTACATAGTCTTTTACAATTCATATTTTTTAACATGGAATTAATGCTTGTTTATTCTGTGGTGTGGGATATTATTCCTCTCTGGACTGTAGAATGTGAATTCTAGAATGACCACCTGTTTTTTCATGTGCTGTTATTTCTTTCCCTTTGCCATGAAGACATTTTGACTTATTCGCAGTGGTTCTGAAAGAACAGCTCACTCAATATTTTTTTTTGGGGGGGGGGGGTGTTTGCAGGTGAGTCACATTGATGTAATCTCCGCTGAGCAGGCAAAGGACTTTGTGGAGGATGATACCACGCACGGATAAGAAACTGGACATCCCAGCCTGCAATTCGCTCTGTACCTGGCTTTATGTACTGCAGTCCAATAGAATGCACTGCTTGCTTTGCTTGACTTGTTAGTTGTACAGTTCTTTATTTACTGTTTTCTGTACTTGGTTTCTTTAAAGATAACTGCTGTGAAGACAAATACTTTTATGTATTCAGGGATGTCCTGTTTTAGAAGTTCATGGATAGTTTTGTATACATCTTCATAGATTTCAAGTTTTGGATCTGGGAAAACATATTTGGAAGAAAAAAAATAAATGGAAACCTTCGCAGTCTGTGTTTTTGTTGAGATTTTTCCACAGCCCCGACATACTTTTAATGTGCAGTTCCTGTAAATTTTTATATTAAACATTTTTTGTACTTGCAGTTACAGTCCTTTTGGAAACATTACTCTCATTTTTAATTTTGTTGACTATGCTATTTACCTTTTCCCATTTTAAGTCATTTCAATAAAATATAACCTGTTTTAGTGCATAAGTGTGTTAATGCATTTTTTATCTAACTTATGGTTTCACATGTTGCATTAGATGAAATAAAAAAATCTGAAAACCTCTTGAATCAATTGTGTTTCTTTTTTATTAAGCCAGAATCATTTTACATCTGCTAGTTTAATGTGTTTTGGGGATGTTTTTCAAATTTGTATTGTAGACAATTTTTGATGGAATAGCTGTGTTTTAAGACAGAAATAAAATTTAGGAAAAGTGATATTTCAGTGTATTGGTCACTTTTTCTTTCTTGCATATATGGCTAAATAAGTGCTTTGACCTAAAAAGGAATGTCTTCTAAATTGCCCTAAAAACAAAAGCATGAAAGGAAGTGATTGTACTTGCAAACTTTTCCATTTGGCTTTGAATGCATAGGCCTATTAACAACTAAAGCCAACATTTATTGGGTATTCCTGACTCTTAAGCCTATTGAATTGCGAAAACATCCTCATCAAGAGCAGCATTCAGCATAATATTCCAATAATAATAAACATAGAATGTTACCATTGTTGATTCTCTTTGGTTTGGTGAGGTTACTTAGGCATTTCAGACTAAGATTTTGATTCGGGGAAGAATATTTTCCATTCAAATGAGTCGAAGATTGTGGAATCTCTCTGAAGAAAGTCTTAACCCTAATCCTAACCTAAGCCAAATCCTTAGCTAGGCTAAGGGTTAAGATTCTCACAAAACGTAATGCATGTTATTTTGTATATGATGTTAATAATTTGGGTGGAACTGTGCACAGTGGTTAACATTGCTGCCTCACAGAGCTGGGTTCAATTTTAGGGTGCTATCTGTGTAAAGTTTGTATGCTCTCCCCACATTTGTGTGGGATTCCTTTAGGTGCTCTGTTTTCTTCCCACAGTCTGAAGCCACTGGTAGGTTAATTGGCTTCTGGGAAGATTTCCCCTGGTGTGTGTTTGTTTCTGTATGTGCCCACCCAGGGAGTATCCTGCCTTGCATCCATTGACTGCTGGGATAGGCTGCAACTCTGCTGTGACCTTGAATTGCGTTTTGAAACCAATATAAGATAAAGTATACAATTCAAGAATTATCCAATTCATTTATGAATTATCCAGTGCAGCATGGATGTGCTATGTCAAATTCTACAGCTTAAAACCAGCTAAGAACTGTAGAGGTGTTGCATGTTTGACCTGCAGCAATCAATGGTGCTTCTGGGCTACTGAAGGAAGCTGATCGTTATAAGCGTTTCAGTTATAATCATTCAAGATGCAGTAGTACGATTTTTTGCCTTTTGTTTTCTGTTTTTATTACAACACCAAACAAAGATACAATACAGACAAGAGTACACATATATATATATATGTAAATACATAAAAGTTGATGACAAATTATATTTTGGTATTTCAATGGATTAAAAAGTAACATCTATGTCTTTAAAAGCAAAGTCAGTATTAGAATATATCATTCAGAATGTTTTAAAAAATGGACATAATCAAAACAAATGTAATGTTTCAGAGCTGCTTTTATCATCTATATTCATCTTAAATCAATGCACAACCAGGGTAAATTTGAATAACATTTTTTTTTGTACGTCCTTAACTTTATTTGTAAACATATTTGCTTGACATCATCCATATTTTATTCCAAAATAGTTGGAATAGGATATAACTCAATATATCCTTCCCCTGTAGTTTAATACAGGCTGTACATTATTCTATAGTTTTCTAATGGACTACTATTAAGGTTTCTTAAAAGAGTCAATACCTCTCTAGAGATCGCATTGGTCACGTTATTCTATTATTCCTGATGGTATGTCTATGGAGGGTGGATGTATATTTATACATAAGAGACCATGAGAGGAGAAGTTGTTTATGGAAGCTGACAAGTTTCAGGGGAATTGTCCCCAATATCAAAGCTGCATTTAAAAAACTCCATACCTCCTACGTCTTTAAATATTAAATTGGGGAATATGGACCACATACAGTACATTGCTTATTTTAAAACATAATTCTGCATCCATTTTATCTTAAAAATAGTATTAGATGTTCTAAAATTGAAAGCATTTAGGCCCCTAGTAGTGCATTCTGTTAAAGTTCCAAAGGTTTGGCTTTTTTAAACTAAATTATTGAGATGCATAACTTCTGCATAACATGTGCTGTAAAGCACATCTTTTAGCATGCGCAGAACAATTCATGGCACTGGTGCACGACGGCGTGCTACTGTAGTTACCACTGCTGTCGCAGAGCAGAGATCGGTGTGGAGTTTGCATGTTTTTCTTTTATCGGGATGTATTGATTTCGTCAGACCTTCAAACGAGTTTGTGAACCGATTAATTGACCTCTCTAAATTAGCACATGTGCGTGTGCTCCGCGATGGACTAGTATCCTTTCCAGGGTGAGAGTGTAGTCCTACCTTTTCGGGCTTGCATCACTGCGACACACTAGGATCAAGCGGTTTTTGTAGTTGGATTGTTGGAATGGTGCAGCATTGTTGACCTTTGAAATCGCATTGAATTAAAGTCTATCAATTGCATTAATTTAAATACTTCATTTAATCTCGTGACCAAAAACCGGAAGCTTCAAAAAATGTATTGCTAATTTATTTAGTAATGAAATTTAATAGCCGTAACAATTCATACGAACCAAAAATGTAGTCATATATTGAACGGTTTTGATTTAACATTTTGGTGAGGTGATCACAATTGCTGTTATAATTAGATTTTTTTTATTTGGTTAATCCGACTTGACTGCACATTGCATGATGGTGATAATGAATGATCTGCGTTTTAATGAAGCAATTAAAAATTATACGCAGCTTTAACAGAAAACCTGTCTAGCTTTCATCTTTAGACTGCAGTTTGCAAATGGCGTTGAAAGAGGTGTTATTGCTCACGTATTTTATTTTTTCAAAGGTAGGTACAGAAAGTTTGTATTGATAAAAATAAACGTTGTCAAGAAATGGGCAATGTTTACTTGTTAAATACTTTATTTTAAAACTTGATCACTCGTTATAAACAAGTCTCAGGAAAATACGAACATTTTATTAAATTTTAGCTTTCGTGAGTATTTTTCTGAAAAACTGACTTCACGTTTTTCTTTAGTAATTAAAGCGAGACCCATTGAGACTGATTCAGAGGACTTTCAACAAAAGTTATGAAACTTAACAAAGGTGAGTGACAGAACACTAATTGAAGAAAATAGCCTTTAATGTTTTAGTATGGTTAAACTAACCGCAACCCCCCGCACAGAACCAGTTTTCAAACTGCAGGAATGGAGTGACATTCCGAAATCAAACTTTGGCTTTAGCTCCAAAATCAGCTGTCTTAATGAGCTCTTGCACACCATTTGTCTCCCAGCGCTGCTTAGTTGTTTTTTTTTTAATGTAATCCATATGAAAAAGTCACCCTTTCTGAATCTTCCATGCGTTTTTCTTAATTGGTCAGTGAAGGGCATATTTTAGCTGGGTCCTACTTGATCTAAAATTGCTCAGATAATTTTTCTTTGTTCTTATGAATGTGATCCTGGGAAGGTTTTTAGAATTGAGAATGTTCAAGGTTATATTACACCTCCAAATGCCTGTTTCAATCTGGGGCAAATTTTACAGATATCCTTCTTGGCCTCACACCAACTCAGATTTTTAATTAATGGTGACGTCTTTGTTGATGTGAGTATAAATTGAAATTATTTGGTAATAAACATTTTCCTCAAAATGGTAATCTGAAACGTCTCAAACATTATTTTGAATTACAGTTACTGGATTTTTATCTGTGCGGTATATTTGTTGTTTTACTTTTGTCAAATGGGAAGAAGCAAGTTAATTCTAGTTCTTGAGCCTTCAGATAATGATTTCATCTTTGTGAATGAAAACGCTTTTTTCAGCTGTTCCGACTCCACAGAAAGAAGCAAAAGTCGCAGTTTCTTTATGAAATATATCAATCATTTTTGTTTTCCATAGAGTACTATTGCTTTAAGTTCAATGGGAAGGTTTCCTGTTTTGTTTTTCCGTCTACTTTTGGCCTTTGATGATGATGGTGTACAAAAGGAACAATTGTGGACAAGGAATGGAGAACTAGACACTGATGTGATTTTAGACATAACTTTAAGGACTGTGCAAATGTAGCATATTAATAAAACAAATTGACAGCTGAGAATTAATCTGATTTTTGTGACAATCTACAGAGTTCACAAACAAGAGGGGGCTTTTGGCACATCTAGTTAAAGTTAGTTAAAGTTGGTTACTAATTGATCCAAGGATCTCATGTGGCAGCTTCTTGAAGGAAGCCAGGGTGTTGGCTTTAACGAAGCTAGTTCCAAACTCCTACAACTCTTTGGGTAAAGATTTGCCTTATATTCCTAGTTTAAGATACTTTTCCACTTTTGTTCTCTGGTTCATGCTTCTCCGTTCATTCTGAAGAAATACGCTAGGTTGAATCTGTCAGTTCTTTTGAGGATTTTTAATATTTTATTGCTTTGCCTTATGAACAGAGAAAAGTAAAACTAAAATCTATGCAATGGCATGTCATCTTACAGGGAGAAATACAAACTACATGGTTCTTCTGTGTGTTCCTGGACAGAGGTATTTTTTGCAAGGTTTGTTTCTTCTTGTTTTGCCCTCAATTTATGTTTTTATATTGTTCTAATTTGTCTTGGATTCAGGAAATTGCAAGAAACAAAACAGACCTAAAATGTACAGGCTCTGAACTGAAATCATTTGGATAGCAAAAGGGAACCATGGAAAACAATGGAGTTGCAGAAGTATTAACATTTGTGCCAGGGAGCTGTGATGCTTACCAGGTGACTATTTATCGGCTTCACAGTTGTATTTTTAGTATAAGTTTATGCTGCATGTCTGTAATTCTACAGTCATTTTACATAAACTCTTCCATCGTTTCCATTGTACACCTACGTATTGTTCACATAGTATTTCAAATTAATTATGTCCTTTAATCTGCATGGATAAATCCTACACATTCTAAAAAATAATGCACTTTTAAAGGGAGTGATTTGAGTACCATTAATTTTTTTTCTATTAGTTCACAGTATGTAATGTTGTGCCTACCTCAAAGTCTTACAGATGACCAAAAAGACGTGTTATACTGAGATTTCCTTTGAATGAGTTAATCATGATTCATTTATATGTAGCACTAACTGTGAGTTCACATGGAATGAAGCAGTACAGTATATGAGTTTTGTTTGGCAAAAGCATGCATACAGGCCTACAGAAGCAGAAAGGTGCCGATTTCAGTTAACCCTGATTCTTTGTGTCCACATTGTCATGTCCAACTCTACCACTAGGTGGAGCTAAATAGCAAATTGCAGCTGAGCTCAAGGAAATGAAACAGGACATTAATTTACTTAAGAATTTGGAAGCTTGCCTTTAGAGTGTGCCCAGTGTATTTATGCCCATACACTTGACATATGAATATAATTGTTTAACGACTGTTTGTTAACACTTTGCGTCTTTTAACTTGATCATTGTGAATTTGAACAAGTAAAGGTTTATTCCATGCCGAAAAGAGAAGAAACGCAACATTTCGGCTGTGGAGCCTTGTTCAGGTGTGAGGGAGAGAAGAAAATCGTTTTCAACCTCTACTTGTTCCTTTGTAGCCTATGCATAGTGATGCAGCTACTGTACCTACTTGAACTACTACAGTGAATTTGATATCCCTGAATGCTTTCAGCCTCGAAGCCTGCAGGTTTTGTGTGCTTAAATTGGGAAAAACTTGGTGTAAATTTGTTGTTTTGATGCTCACAGCAAAAAGTGTTGTGTTGAACAGTTTATAAATTGCAGGATTTTTCTTCTTTGCTTGACGTGAGTATGCTCTGTAACACACTTGAAGATGAATGAATACCAGGGTAGCAGTGAATTGGGCTCCCATGCTCGTGCCATTTGTAGAGTAATGGAGTGCCTGGTAATGTTCTCTGCAGGTTGTCTTTGAGGGAGTGGTCGGGGATGGTCCTGCAAGTTATGGTGCTATTGATGATATCCACATTCAGAAGGAGTGCTTCTCCTGCATCGATATGGTGACGCTCTACTGTGCTTGAGAGCATGGTCTGGAAATGGCCACTCACAGCTTCCTTTCTGGGGGCTTTCAAACAAAGCTTTATTAGAAGAAACGTTGAAAAATAATAGTTCTTAACATGATACAGTGAATAAGTTTGGTTAGTACTTATAACTCCTCACATTTACTTTGTACTTCATGGGCAACAAAGGGACGCATTTTTTAACATCCCTGTGAATGTTGGGGTGGCATTGTGGTTAACACAGTGTTGGGGCCATGGGTTCAGTTCCTGGGGTAGTGTCTGCAAGGAGTTTGTATGTTCGTATGGGTTTCATTCCCACTGTCCCGGGTGTGTGTTTCCCGTCCAGGGTGTGCCCTGCCTTGAACCCGTTGCTTGCTGGGATAGGTTCTGGTTCTCCTGTGACCCTTTATTAGATAACCCAGTTTAAAAAATGCAGGGACAGATGAAACCATTCTGAAGTCTGTTGCTTAAATGCGTATGCATATTTTGATTGTATTTTACTCACAGCTTACAGTTTAAACTGATATCTAGACTTCAAACCATTAAGATAAAGAATTTGTGCAACTGTTAATATACTTTAGTTTTTCTGTTTTGGACAGCATATATTAGCAATGTGTATGATAAAACAGAGATGCTTAGAAAGCCACAAACACAGCAGTTGAATTGTGTAAATACAGTACTAGGACATGCTCTGGAAAAGAGATTTTATTTTTTCCCTCTCTCTGCATTTACAGCCTGGGTGTAGCTTGACCTTTTCACTGGCTTAACCTCCTGTGCTGTAAGAACAGGCAGGAGGAAAGACACTTAAGTAGCAGGTCTCAAAAACCGCCCGCAGTGAGGGAACTGTGGCCAGCATTTGGTAAAGTTATCCTTTTACTTCAGATAACACAAGCTCTCTTTCTCACAATTTCAGAATAGCTAACGCCTCTGTTAATGTTAACAAATGCTCAGACTCATAAGTGAGGAAAGCACTTAAATCTAATTTCAATGCATTTATTCAGAGTTAAAAATAACAAGCTCGTTTGCAGGTATTAAGAATGAAGGACAAAGCTGGCAATTAGTCATGAGCTGGTATTTTTTTGTTTTGTGGGGATTTAAAGGTCACTCGTGACTCACTGGAAAAACAAAGATGGGTCTGAGCTTTTGACTTCCTTGTTCTTCCCACAAGTACTCTGCTTTATCCTGAGGAATGTGCAGTATAGTGCTTGTGTTCTGTATATTTTTGCCAAACAATTGGTGTAATAAAATGTTTACTACCAAAATTATGTCAATGTTCTTAATGGAAGAGAGAATGTGATGGTGATAATATACCACCATTATATATATATAGATATATTGTTGCAGATGCATCTTGCTTTGTGTAAGAGGAGAATACCTATTTCCAGAAGATTTGCAGGCACCAGTCTTGATGATGTGATTTCATTGGAAATTTGGAGATTGGGCCATTCAGAATGCCAACCAAGAAAGAAAGAAAAACGTATTTTGGCATCCATGGGTAAAGACTGTCTGTGTAAGACTTGAATGAAAAACAAAATTGTTATTCTGCTTTATGAGGCTAATTGCTCTCTACTTGTAATTTTCTATTTATTTCACTTTGATCACTAAGTTTATTGAGTTCTAGTTTCCTGCACCAGAGGTGCAGATAATCTGACCATTTGGGTGGGTGAGGAAATCTTAACCACACATAAATCTGTCTGGATTTCTCCTGAACTGCAACTAATGTAATTTGTTGTCCAACAGGTGTGTTCTGCTTCCTTCTGGTAAACAGTGTCCTCTTCTGTCCTTGTGTGACGATCTCTCCTTTGGCCAATCTACAAAACAATTGATGGAAGTGGTCAAGTGTGAAAGCAGGAAAAAAGTCTGTTTACGGCAGTAATTTACAGTCTAGGGATCTTCATCTTGTGCGTCAGAGAACCAATCAACTTGTCAGCTATGTGGCCTGTCTTGGAAGGAACAGTTGCAGCTCCTTAGTTTCCCATAAAAGTCCCATTCCTGTAGTGACTTGATTTATGTCTCTTCTTTTTTACTGGGGGTGTGCCTATTTCTAGAAGGCTATTATGATGTGAGCGAAAGTTAAATATATATTTAAGCATCTGTCTATTTTATGAAGCTACTCCAAATTCTATGGAGGTGGTCAAGTTTGTATACTTTTAAAAGCCTGACTCCGTAAAGGAAGCCCTTGTTTGAAAAATGTTGAAACCAATGTTTCTCGGCTCTATTTCCAGGTTTCAGTTGCTATTCCAGTCTTCTTTCCCTTTCAGTTTTAAATCTGGACTGGTTCTCATGAAACATAGAAGGTCATTGCCCTAACATTTTGCGTAAAAAAATAAAACTTTTTATTTGGAAAGAGTAACTGCCATGGTGGTAGTTTATAAAATATTAGGGATTTTTTTTTGCTAAATGCTATAGATATTACCTGCGTTAAGATGCCCTTGTTAAATTACATTGCGTTTTAAATTTTAAGATGAAGGTGTATTTTTTTTTACATGCTATACAAACCAGTACCCGAGATGTTGCAGTTACGAATGCAACATCTGAATTATAGTGTCATGCTCCTGCACAAGGCTGCTTCTGTTCTTTATCTTTATCTGAATGAAGCATGTTTCCTTGCTGCGTGCAAGATGGCCCCTTACAATGCATCCCAGATTTGTTCAGAGAGCACATTGAGGCCTGTAGTCCAGACACTGCTGGAATTATCTGGATTGCTGCATGAATGGCTCCTAAAATGTGATCTGATCTTCATCTAAGTCATAATAATAAATAAAGGCAGTCTTATTTAACAAACAACACACACAACATCTTTATCGAACAAATGGTTTATACAGTCAAGGTCATTGATGGAAAAAGTATGTGAACCTTTATATGTTGTAACTAGGGAGAGTAGCATTGGTGAATTTCTTCCATTTGTAAACTATCTGCCTGACTGTGGACTGAGGGGAGGCCCAAGTCTTTAGAATTCCTTTTGTAACCCTTTCCAGTCTTATGAGCTTCAGCAACTCTTCTTCTGTCTTTATTTATTATTATGACTTACATGATCAGATGACATTTTAGGAGCCATTCATGCTGAAATCCAGATAATTCCAAAGGGTTCACAAACTTTTTTCTCACAGATGTACATCATTAAGGTGCCGGTGGCCAGGACTTCCAAACTGAGCTCATGCTTTTTGGGTGGACTTGAGTCACCCACCACTTTCTTAACTTGAAGTACAGCAGTGCACGATGGAGCTGGCTGGGACTCTGGTCAGGGCGAGCAGCATCTGTAGCTACTGGATACGACAGTGGGCATAGTGGAGTAGTGTGTACAAGTACCCCTTCCTCCCTGTGCCGTTTGCAGGAGGTACAGGGATGAGGTGAGTGGAGCAACTGGCAGCTCTCTTGGATAGGTATAGAGTAATTTAAGGATTTAAAAAATCAGGTGCACTTACTGGGCACTTGCCACTGTGTGGTAAATCGCAGATGGTAAATAAACTGGAATGAAAAATGGTCTCACAAACCTTATGAAATCAATGCTCAGTTCCTGAGGAGGAAAGAACGTGCTCTGTGCCTCATATATTTCTACTGCCTTCATAATCTTACTGCTGTCATTGCTAGTTCTCTAGTTTGTCCAGTCTAAGAATGGGAGATGAATGATTAAAGCAAATACCATCATCTGGTGTGTCATTTTATTTCTCGTGTCTTCTTTATCGGTGTTGCATGTATAGCAGGATGTGCTACAGTGAAATATCAGGAGTGGCTGGAGGATACTGCTTCTTAAAATGGTTAGATATACCATCCCCCTCTTCACTGGTACTGAACAAAGTGTAAATGGAATGCATAATGAAATGCTTTCACATTTGTTATGCTGCAACTTGACCTTGTCATTTTGTGTGTGTGTGTAATCCTGTAATACAGTCGGCTGTTCTTGCTTGGCAAAGACATTTACAACCAATGTTGTGTGTTGCGGCTTTGAGTTCATTCTTTTTATAATCCAGTTTTATTATGGTTGGAGTCATGTGTATTGCACGCTGTAGGACCTGCACTGTTAGCCAAGGGAAGGAATTCAGCATCAGAGTGGCAAAGAATTGTGAATTCCTACCGAGCTATCTAAAGTTCACATTTTACTTATAGAGAAAAAACACACTTGGGGGGGGTTATTAACATTTTTCATATTCTGCATTTATGGTGACAATTCTTATGTTTTTGTACTTCCTTTTATGCGAGTAACATTTTCATATATTCACAAATGGGATATTCAGGTTAAGTTCCCTTTTCATTACTACCATTAACCTTTGAGGTTCCTACTGTATATAAAAGAAACATTTTATTAATCAGGATAGAGACAACGCAAGGACCAGTCTCTCAAAGCACTATAATCTAATGTAGAATCATCGAGAAATAAAATGAGAGAAGGGAAAATGCTGTAGCCCTTTCAATATCTGAGCTCATGTTGAGGCAAAATACTGTACCTCATTCTGTCTGGCGTATTGCTTTTTGAAAGGAAAAGCGGGAACTGGGTATTTTTAAGAGCTAGCAGCCTGCTCCATGTGCTCTGTGAAACTGTTCTTAGCATTCATCACAATCATCTTAATGTCAAATTTCACAGATATGACTAAGAAACATGCAACAATTAGTAATTCAGAGTATGAATTAAAATGAGGAATATAGCTCTAGTTCATTTTTTATCATTTATGGCGGAAAGGACAGGTGGTTTGTTTTTGGGATGACACTCTAGCCTTTGGTGAAAATTCACCAACAAAACACATAAGTACACAATTCTTAATTTTCTCTTCAAAGTCCCAGTTCTGTAATATTTAGTATCTTAACTTGCATTATAAAGTAGAAACAATCTACAGTCTCTTTCTGTTGTATTATTTCAATATTACTGTATATTAAAGTGATTCCCAAAAGCTTGCTGTAGTCATTTGGAAAAGAAACATCCCTTTTTATTTTGAAAATTCTAATTGTGACTGATATGAACAGCTGTAAAGTGCAGTTTTTCAGAGAAAGACTAATGCAAAGAGAGCCATTTTATTAACAAAGTCATCTGTAGTACAGTATATGTTGTGCTGGCAGAGGCTTAACGGGAATATATTTATGTACCGTGAAATCATCAGTCTTCTGTTAATTTCCTTAGTTAGGAAAACATTGCTTTAAATTACACTTTGGATATTACTGCTGAATAATAAGAGAAAAATTCTCAGCCCCACAGTTTTCATTTCCTTGAGTGAACAAATCCAGATGGTTAATTTGTAAATGTAGAGGAAAAATGACAAATGCATGAGCAAATGTGATAAAACAAGGGCTTAATCTTATATCTGCATAAAGGAGCTGTAGTTAGTTTGGAAATACTTTTTAAACTGAGATTTTGGACTCTGTCCATTTTTATGTGCTCGTGTAGCACTTTTGTCAGAAGGATATCCAATGGGATTTTCAAGAAATTATGAAGAAAAAAATAGATTTTTTTTTGTAAGAGTTTTGCTCTCAAGCTGAATGAAACTTCAAACCATGTGTACTTGGTGCCCACAATAAAATCTGTTCCTTTCTGCTTTTCACTGTGCCATGACACTACTTGTTACTCCAGTTCTACATTGGGCCAAAAGAAAATCAGTTTTGTTATTCAGGACTGCGATCTTGTGCTCTGTACATAAGCTTGTAGAGATCATGGTTGTCGACAGCAGCCTGTGCCCCCAGAGATGGAAGGAATTTGCCAGGTATGTTCCATGAACTTTTCCATCTATCATTAAAACAGATGATGTGAAGAAAGGCTGAAATTATTACAGTAATTGGCTTTGCCTGACTGAAGATTTTTTGCTTTTTGACTTACCCTACACGTGGAATGAAGCCGGTTAATAATAAAATTCACTTGTTTCATTCTTCCGAGTTTTCTCCCAAGTATTTAGTTCCTATTCCAATTGTGTCATCTTTTCATAATCCTTTTGTTTCTGTTTGGAACTGAATAGTTTTTCAATTTGCTTTCTGGATTAGGACTATAATGTAACGTATGTGCTACAGAGATTTACTAGGAATTATATTTCAGCTTTCTATTTAAAAAAATGGGAACTGTTTTAGAGTGCTTTTTAGTGCACGTTTTTTTACGGATCCAGAAAAAGTGTGATGGTCATTAATTACAGCGTGCACATTCATTTTTTGTTGTGAAAGCAGTTGCAGTTACTGTTCAGGCTTGCTCCTTTATGATTGATTTCATACTTTTTTTACTTTTTACTTTCATACTTTTAAATTTTTTTTTAAAGAATCTCAAGTACCCCTTTTGGGTTATTGATACTCATAACCAACAGTTTTTCTTAAAAGCAGAATGGCAACAACTTTAAAAATTCCTGTTGTGAAGATGTTAGACATACTTTCAAAGTGGCAGGAAAATAATCTAACATGGCAAGAGAGTTACAGAAGGCAGAAGGTGTGTAGGTATAGGATAACACTAACTGGCCCATGGGCAGATATTTGAAATTGCTGATTAATTAATTGGCTTTAGAGCTCTTACTGCAACATTTTGGCTTTTCAGCATCTTACATTAATAGAAATTACTGCCACTGATGGGAATTTGTACACTAAAAAGTAAAAGCAAGGGAAAATCCCTATTTGCTTTGTTATACATCATGATCTTTGCCATTGAAGGACACAATCGTGGAACTAAGGTTTTATGTACTGGACCTTTGTGAAAAATAAACAGTCTATTTGCAGTTTGCCTATTTGCAGTTTAATTAAAGCAATTCCTTTATCGTTTTGAATGATTTTTTTAATTCGAAAGTTAGGCAGATGTTACAATGTTAATCTCATTTTTTTCAAAGGGGGTGGGTCACCCGTTGACCTGTTGATATTTTACTTATTATACTGAGACGCTTTAAAAACGCAGCAGATGTTGATGGTTTCAAATACTAATCTGTTGCATTTTAAATGCCTCTCAAGTATAGATAATGTCATAAAAATTTCTGGATCTATCGTGTGCTCACTGTATGGATTTCAGAGGCCCAGCTATGATTACTTGGATATAAGCCTACCATTCTAGCTGGAAAGGACCATGTCTGTGAAACATTTGATGTAGTGATACCCGTCAGAAAGATTGATGGTCACTTCTGTAATGAATATGAAATCCATGTTTTGCACATCCTTGTAAGAAAGGGTCGTCCCGTAAAAAAAAGTTCTAAACTGTGTATTTACTTTTTCTCCAGGAAAACTGAAGCACTTTGGATGATGCTTTTGTCATTAATACTTCATGTTTTATATGAATACATGTCTTGCATTGCTGAAAACAATTGTCAGCTGTCAAGAAAATACAAGATTTCTTTAGTGTTGTGTCGTATGGTTGGAAGTAATTTAATTTGGTCATGTTTTCTTTGCGGTTTAGCTGTATTGCAAAGCGCTATTATGACTCTGTCATACATTTAGTGTTATTGGAAATCATCGTGGTTTTCAGTGCCAGATAATACAGAAATTAATTTACGATCCAGCACTTCTGTGGTTTGCTCTCTAGTAAAAGTGCGACTGACGGCGCTTGATGAAGAACAGCACTTTCATTTTGAATGGTTATTCTTCCCAGTGAATGATTTATTTAATGCATTCTAGCTTTCGGCACACAGATGTGTCACCTCAGACAAACGGCCACCACAAAGTGTCAATAATCTGACCCTGCTCTCAGTCCAGGGACGAGCTCCAAGTGATACAGCTGCTAAATTGATCCAGCACCTCCTGAGTGACTAATGGCATTCCTCACGCTTGGACTCCCCTGTGCCTCACTGAGGAAGACTGATAGGAAGCGGGGCTCTCCACTCAGTGTGTGGGCTTGGGGCTCCTATTGGCTAAGTGGCTTTCAACTTGCTTCCTGTCATTTCCTTTAAATCTTCATCCAGTCCAGTGTCGCTTCTCCTAAAGAGCGTTTCTTCTGGCCTTCTTTTTTTTTAATTGGAGAAAGGAGGGGGGAGGGGGTGGTGGTGTTGGTGGCAGTTGCTGATATTCCTGATCCAAAACTGGAGAAGTTTGCTGAGCTTATCAAGAGCAGAGAAGTGCTGCCACAGGCTACTGCACTGTTACTTTAATACAAGATAAACTTTTTTTTCCCCAGGATCTTAGTTTGGCCTTTGTTGTGTAGGAGAAAGCTCTGTGTAAGGGGGGGGTCAGGGGTGGGAAAGGTGGACAAAACTCCATATCTGCCATGAAACAGACACGGGAAAGTGGTTTTGAAGCTCGCTACCAAGGTTTCAGGAATGGGGCAACAAAAGCGCCCAGTCGTGGTTCCAAGGAAGTTTCAGGGGCCACAGGCCTCTCCAGTCAAGTCCAGAGGTAAGAAAAATTAAATATTCAAGTTGTGCCACTCGAGAATAGCAATGTCTTAAATTGTAATTAGTTTGAGACAAGTTTGAGTGATGTGCCGTGTAGCCCGAAATTACACCTTAACTTACAGTGTCCAGGTAGTTCTATGTCTCTTGAAATCACTGTTGATTAGTTCTAGTTCTCATTTTAAGGAATGAGGATTATGTTAAAGGTTTAAAATTGTGTATGACACACTGGAAGACATGCAAACGAAGAGTAAATTATACAGTATAAGCCAATATTTCATATGCTAGATAGGAAGTAATATGTTTAGTCAAGCAGTTTTTAACTTCATCCTTTTTTAGCATCCTGTGCAGAATTTAATCTGTTAATGTGAAAATGTTTTGAGTAATTTAGGTTAGCTAGCTAAGAGAATAAGTCTAGATTTATTTAATGCAGAGTAGTATTTTGTAATCAATATTTGTATTAAATTAGTATTTATATTTAAATGCACAAAAACTGCAGGTAGCTACTTTGTAGAGCTTTGATTGGAGTAAGTAGTAAGTAGTAAGTAGAATATTTCTACTATTGTAATGGGATGCTTAGCAGTAGAGTTCAGTTTATCTCTCCATAAAGACAAATTACAGGCTGCAAAGCCTGTAAAATGGTGATATATTCAACCAAGAACATGCAAATATGGAGAATTATTAGGCTATTGTGTTAGTTTCCGATTTGCTAAATTGCACAGTTATTATTTCGTCTGGAAAGGCAACGTTTTATATTTGTCTGAGTAGTTTTTTAAAAACGTCTCTCAGTACATTAACATATTCTGATCATGTGCAAAGTTTTAGAGGACCTCTTTCGAAGCTTTATTTCTTCGGTGCAAAATTTGCTATATTTTTGCTAAATTAAATGTTCTAAAACGGAACATTGAGTTTTCTCTCTTGATGGATTATATTACCTTCAGTAAATGTTTTAACTGAAAAAATGAAGGAAATTGAGCTTTTAATCTTCTTACAATCTGAGACCAGAAATGAATAATTCGGCTAGTTATGATTCTGTCAAATCCATTGTAGTGATGCAGGCAAATATGAAGCCTTACAACTTAAATGTAACTTTTAGCATTTTATTGATTGTATCATATACTTGGAAGTAATTTAATTTGCTTGTGTTCAGATTTCTTTGTGGTTTGTAATTTATTGAAAAACTTTTTCATTTTCATAAAGAATACATTTTAGTTTCTAATCAGTAGAGAAATAGTGTAATGAATTTCTGTTTTTGCAATTTATTGAACGGATTAATAAAATCCCATTGACAATTTATCATAATCATGATCATAATCCTCCACAAATTTAAGATTAGTTTTATCCTTTTCCATGACTAAGGCATGTACATTGTTGTCACAAGTTGTGGTATTGATTTTTTTTAGGTAATTGAATCGTCCCTAAATCGCACATCCTTGCAGTAGTAGACCATCTAATTTTTGTTAATAATTTTTGGTCATTTTATAATATGATGTAGCATTTTTTTTATTTGAAAGTTTTATTGAGCATTACATTTCAGATTTCATAAATGCAGTGTGTGAATATTGTGGATTTGTAAACACGTGTGTTACCAAATAAGATTAAGGGATCTACTTAATTCCAGTAGTATTATTTATAAGACAAAAATTACCCTAGATTACATGATGGTCATCTCTTTTTTTGCATCTACAATATTCTTATTTTATTTTAGTAATTATGCCAAAGGAAAAGTTGACAATAAAATTGTCCTATCTAAATAAGGGTCACAAGGAATTTTGTTAATTTAAGACTTTTAAGCTTCATTTTGTAGATCATCTATCTCTAAAGAAAGAAATGTAAGTTACTTTTAAAAAGTAACTTACACAGCAGAGAAAAAGTAGAGAGCTGCTAATGTCCAGAGGGTTACAGCTTTGTCTTTTGCAGTTCTTTCCAAGTTCATGTTCCAGATATACAGATTGCCAAAAGGTTATGAGCAAACATCGGTGAGGGGGTTAAATAGTTTTTTTTTTCAGTAGTCAGTACTTTCAAATTTGGGATGTTTGAAACGTTCTGCAAGACCTGGAAATGCTCAAACTGACCTTGATAAGTAAGGCAATTACTTTTTTCATGTAGGATATCCTGAACAAAATAAACACAATTTGAGTATACCAGGACCGGAATCAAAGGAACTAACTCTGAGAAAACCAAATCCCAGCTGCTTTTTGTTCCTAGTGGTCCCAGTTGGCTATTAGGTTGTCTTGTTTGATGTTTGTCATTAATATTGTTGAAAATGAGGTGAAGGAGTGATCCAGTCGTTGAAGTGTGTCAGATAATATATTTAAACAAAAACAATTTACATATTTGCATAATCTGTCATTTGAATAGTTTTACTTTTTTCCCCCAGATACTGAGTGAAATGCTTTTTTGAACAATTTAAGATGTTTTTGAATTGGCTTATATTTCCTATAAACATCTCTGATTTAGGTGAAGTTTTATGTGTAAATTTAATGTTTAATAATATAATATTTGAGATTTGCTGCCGTTTCCAAAATACAAATTGAGAAAAGCTCTGATACTATAATAGACCAAACACACAGCCTTTTCTTCCAGATAAATGAGCATTTATCTTCATCTTTGTCTTCATTTCTAACATTCAGAATTAAAGTCCATTTGATCTGAAATATTTGCTGCACATAATTAGCAATTTGTTAAATTATTTAGTATGTAATAATAAATGTTGTATTATTTAACATATTTACAACTGTATATTAGTAAAGGAATTAGTTCTAATAATGATGAAGTCTTAGCAAGACCTTGACATTATTTTATGTCTAATATATCTGCTAACAATATTTTACTTTATACCTTTTAAGGCAATTAAATGATTCCGTTTTATGTGACAATCTGCAAGAGGCACAAATTGCAATTTTCCAAATTCTTACTTTCTTACACTTTTTGTTGAAGTTTTTTTAGTTACTTTTGACTCAGAAGTGTATGAAGCACATTGTTAAACCTTTAGGGGTTCCAGTTTAAAGTATCTTTCGTACATTGCCACACATAGATTAATGCTTATGAATAAAACTACAAGGAAATTTTATTTTTTAATCCAGAGATTCTCATATTTTGTGTGTAGAATATCCAATAAAGCCAAAGGAAGAATAATTTTTGCAGTATTTCACTTTAAACAATGATTTATGTTAATACTTCTGTTGGCGACCTGGTTATAGTTTTCACATTGTTTGCTTTTCTTTGGAAATATTTTTTTTCTGTGCTTGTTGTTATGAAGATTACTTTTAAAATTAAGCATCCTGCTAATAAGTGCTTTAACATACAGAGTAAAAACCAAAGTTTTAAAACTTTTATCCAAATGTAGATTTCCACTTTTTCATTTTACAGTCCGATTTTAAGCATATAAACACAATATTTTCTACTTAACACATTTTAATTTCATAATCTTGTTTGTATTGTTAATGAATGGTCATACTTATAAATTATTTCCCTGTAAGAAATATAATTTTACATTTCCTACTATTAATTGGACTTTAAATCTGAGGATTTGCATTCTTCTATTTCCTTAAAGTTAAAGCGATTAAAATTTAGCTTTATGATCTGCACTAATGTACACATTTAATTTTGTTAGAAATTTTGGCAATTAAGAGGTTCTGGTCTGTGTCGCTGCCAAAGATTCATCAGGGTGGTGTTTGGATTGCCAAACCAGAGATACTCCAGGTTGTTTTAAATTGCAATCATCCCTGCTCAGTACGGAAAGCAGTGGTGAAGTTTTGTCTCCCTGTGCACAGCACTGCTGGAGTCTGTGTGCCTTCATCGCTCTTCCTCCCACCTGCTCCCTCTATATCACCCCGAGTGCTTGTCATGCTGGGGAAGTTGCCTCTGACCTGTCACTGGGGAGTTTGGATGATAGGCACGGAGGCACCGTTCAGGGACAAAACTTTAGTGTTTTTTTTTTTCCTCGCTGCATGGTCTTTCGCAGAACATCAGCTTGAACCCCATACCACACCATTGTCAGAGCCATTGAGTAGAAAATGCCGCGGGAAAGGTAATGTAACAACGACCGAGCTTTGGGTAATGGAGTCGGCCGAGCGCGTTGCTCGATTGCTAACTGCTGCTGTGCCACATTGGGAATTTCTGGTGGGGAAAAAGGATCTTGTACATTCCCGACTACAAAACGTAACCATAAAACTTTAAGTGCTTTATTTAGGAATGGATCGCTTAGTCTTACAACCATGTTCTTGACCTTGGCCCTTAAGAGTTTTGCAGAGTTACGGTAGCTCCTTAACTTTCTGAAAAATAGTGACGGCGAATGAGCGTTTTGATTGCTTTGCCTCTTCAAGAACTTGAAATTACTGTGGCTCAAGTGGCGATCATCTAGCATTTTTGCCTCGAATCTGGATTCACGGTGAAGGTTTAGAGGTGGAAATATTCTTTCATTTTAAGGAATGAGCTTTTTATGAGCTGCAGATGACAGGAGCGTTAGCCGTTTTGCAAACGAAACAAGCACTTTGGGAACGGATCTCCATTTAAAACTTGTTTGCTGTCGTTCTGTCAGAATCAGGCCTTCCATGTTGTAGAGTCATCTAAACCCCAGGTCAGCATCAAATATCACTGCTGGAGACTGCCATCAAAGCATTGAGGAAACACAATGATGTAGATCAAATCAGTTTAAGTTCTCAAGAACAATGAATGCTCTTAGATATATGCTGCTTGTGTAACATGTCAAGTGCTCTTAATCCTTTTGCTTTGGTGAAAAATAACTTACCAAGGCATGGTATTTACTAGACTAATAAAACCGTAATCACTATACCAGTTGTCTCTTGTAAAACAGACTTAGCAGTACAGTTAAAGTGCACACGCAAAATGATTGTATGAAGGACAGATGACAAGCTGAAGTTTCACTGCTGAAGCAAAGAGAGAAGTAAAATGTTCCGAAAAATAGTTTCTTCTTAGAAAGCATGTTGTGCTTTTTTTCTGTCATATTTGTGGATCCAGACTAAATGTTTTTGAGCTATA